AATATAAATATAAGCCTATCTATAGCAGAGTTGCGACTGCGATCGCCGGCGCGAGACGCGAGTGCTTATAAGCTACGCAATGTAGCCAAATTGACCGATCTATGTCCTTATAGTAACTAACAATTATTATACGATAGCGAGTAGACTAGACCCGCTATAGTACGAAGGTATAGGCTAGTAAGGCGGTTAGTCTTAGGACCCGAGAGCAAGGCATACAGATAGTTCGAGCTAACGATTAAGATAGTATGTTTTCTATAGATGCTACTAACTCTATCGGCGGTAAAAAGGCATATATTTAGCTATAACGAGTAGTAAACAAAGGTATAAAACGATCGAAATATTCTATAGATCGTATACTAGAGTAGTAGTCTAAGTAGGAGGCCGAATAAACGACCGTATATAAATCCGCGGCAATACAATATACTAGGCGTAAGGTTAAGAAGCGAGATAATAGATAACGTAATTTGCCGAACCCGCTGCCGAAGTTAGTAATAGAGGATATAGAAGTTGCCTAGTAGGCTTAGCACCCGATTCGATACCGAATTAGGGCCCGAGTCGGTATTAGCAAACCCCGCGACTAGAGTAGTTCTAGTTTCTACTGCTAACTAACGTCGACTTTCTACTACGCTATATATATAACTACCGCCTTCGAGAATGCTACGTACTTAACTACCTCGCGATCAATATTTAATAGGCGGTATTACCCGCGGCCTTAGCCTATCGCCGTCGATATACTACGTATTTTACGCTAGCGTCGAGAGGTCAATTTAGGAGTCTAGTTAGATTAGCAGTACGTTCCGATTACTGTTATTGCTAGAACGCCGAAGGACGCAAGGTTACCTATACGACCTAGTATTAACAGACGAGAAATACGAAGAAAAGTTCCCTAAGGCAGTAAAGCAGATCCGTACGGTAGAGGGACAGACTACGTTTAGGTGCCTAGTATATAAGATTTGTTCTAATTATCGCCGACAGACGAGACGAAAAACGGTACGCGTAACAACGCGTAGAGTCGGCGATACTAGCGATTGCGCGGAAATTGCTATATCTACGGATACTAGACTAGCGACACTAGAAGGATCTAGAGCGGTGCCGCCGTACCGCGTACTAAATAATGTGTAGCAGAGTATAGTTATAGTATAAGAGTAGAACGGGAAGGTGAAACCTATATATCGACTATATAAACTCGATTATCGCTAGCCTATAGTTAGAGGCCGCGCGTTAGTAGGAGTCGATAATATAGACCTCGAACGATTAGTTAAGATACTACGGGCAGATTGTAGTTTCGAAGCCGGCGTCGACGCCTTGTATTAGATAAGCGACTAATATAGACACGTTCGAATTAATAACGAGCGATAGTAGAGGGCTAGTCTATCCGACATATTAGGCAGAGGCCTACAGCTACGATTTGCAATCTATAAGCAAATTAAGGAGGTAGAACGAGCGTAAATGTAAACGCAGAAAAGCAAGATAAATAATTAATTTCACTAAGTCCGACATAGAAGTCCTACTCTAATAGTAATAGGTACTAATCTATTTATTAAACAGAAGGCAAGATGCCCCGACTACGATAAGCACTACGCTTTAATCTTAGACATATGCTAATATATAGTAAGTATATTACGTATAGCAGTCTTAAGCGCCGCGATCTCTTCCTTTATCTATTTAATCTCGGCCTATATTTAAGTACCCTAATCGCGCTATAGCGATAGCGGACTCGGGGTAGCGCGATAGTTAAGGAAAGGCTAAATCGGCTACGACTAGCAGTCGTCGTACTAGGGTGGATTGTATGCCTCTAGCTAATCTAGTTAGAATTGCATCTATCGAGTATAGAGCCTCTACGGTATTATTAACCTCGAATTAGCTAAATACGCCGATAGAGATAGTTCTAACTAACCCGTAATGCTGCGAGGCGGCTTCGAAGGTATATATTCGACCTAGCGGATTAGCTAACGCCGATTGATTTACCGATAAAGAATATATATCTATATATACCGTAGTAGCGACCGAGCGAGGAATAAATAGTCTAAATACGCCGATTGCTTTAGTGCAATGTTAATAGTGTTACTATATGCCGTCGGCATAGACTATAATAATTACCGCTAGACTAATAATAGCGCTAGATTAATAGTTCCCGAATCCGACTCGCGACCGAATCGGGCTAGCGTCGACAAGGTACGAAAATAGCGAACAGTCTATAGGCTACGATTATACTTTAGCGTTAGCGGGGCATATCCGATAGAACTAATAAGCGATTATAGACGGCGACTCGGGCAGTCTGTATAGGAGCAGACGATAAAACCGCAATTTAATGCCCCCCTTTTCGTAGGGTAAACAAGTACGAAGACGCGTATAGTCTAATATATACTACGTTAGATTCGCAACAATACTACTACTCGTTATAGTACACTTAGGATAGGTCGCAACTACGAAGAAGATAAATACAGAACTAAGTCGTTATCTAACTCGATAGAGTCGGATAGGGATACTAGATTCGGAGAAGAAAACGGGGAGGATACTCGTTTATATATAGCGACTAGTATTAGATCGAAATTTATAAAGGTAACGTATGCTAGAGTACGGTAATAGAGGACTAACGTAACTAGTATAAGGGCAAGAATAGCAAAGATCCGGCAAAGCTAAAACGGAAGCACGGCGACGATAGGGCGGATTAGAGCGACGATACAAAGCTATTAAAACGACGTAAGAAGCGAGACAAAGGCTTAACGACTTCTAGTAAAGAACGTTTAAATCGAAAGAAGGGCTTACTCTAGTAACTCGAAGCAAGGGAGCAAATCTTATATAACGAGACGCGTCGTAAACTATTCGCTATTACGTTAACTAGGGCCCGAGGATGTAAGACGATGTTTCCTACTACCTAAACCCTAGTATAGGTAGACGAAACAATTAAGGAGGTATATAGTAAAAACTACAATCGATTACTAGCTTTACGTACAATAGCGCTATAGCCGGGTAGCTATATACCGTCGAGAGACGTAGTCTAAGCAGTCGGTAGAGATCCCGATATAATAGTATCGAGACTAATATTAGAATAGTTGCGAGAAGCTATACGAAAGGAGCGAGGCTATATTAATACCTATATCCGATTAACCTTAACAAACTAAGCACCGATCGCAATAACCGATACTCTAAAAAGGATAGTATACGCTAAGAGGATACTCGATAACTAAATCTTCGAGTGCTACGACGAAAAACTAGTAAGACCCTCTCTAAAATAGTATAGTTACTAGATAATAGCTAACGGTCGATATATGCTACGCGCTACCTTAGTAAGCTTATATACAAATGTCTAGCGGGTATACTACTCCGGCAGGATCGGCGAGGCTAGAAGACATATATCAAATAGTACTACTATAAAGTTACCCCTTTTATAATATTGTCTACCGCTACGGTACTCGGTAGAATACTAACCGGATAGTCGATAGAGTCGCATTTAACTAAAGTTAGAGGTAAAGCGATCTAGCTAGCCCTAGATTACAAGTTAATATACTAGCCGTTCCTAGATCGGATAACTACGTAGAATGCGACGGATTAAGCTACTCGTAACCTTCGGTTGTCGAAAGCGTAGAAGATATACGTACGGTATATAGGCAGAGTATAGGATACCCCTAAATTATTAATAAATAACTTCGAGAGCGTACGTAACGACATCGATGCACTTATAGCAATCGACGTCGTTTTAGATTCCGACGATAAAGGCGGATCGATCGAGCGCTATAGTAAGAGTAGTCTGCAAGCGCCGTGTTTCTCTTACCTACTAATATAATCGATAGGTCCTAAAGCGTCTACCGGGCAACAATTAAGTAAACAACTTAAAGCCGGCGACAATGCGATAGATAGGTTAGCGGAGGCAGAGGCCCTACCTAAGAAAAACGATGTTAGACTACCTATACTATAGAGCAGTTTCTAAGCGACAGATTAGGAGCCGACGGGGGCTACTAATCCGTTTGCTTCGGTACGGGGAGGTAACGGTACAAGTGTAACCGAGACAATAGAATATAATAGAACCGAAGATAATAAATACTAAAGGTATAGATATACCGCGGTAATAGTAATAGGGAAGGATTGCGCGCTAATTACTATAAGAATAGCAGGTATTCCGACTAGTCTTATATAATAGACAAGACTTTATTCGCGGCGGTAAGTAATCGCGTTAGGGATGTATTAGGGCTAGAAGAGGGGGAGTAGATATAGTAGGCGGATATAGAGGCGGACGGCGGCAAAGTTAAGGAGATAGTATTTAACGAGGAGACGTAGGATCGAAGAATTAGGAGATATATAGTAAAAGAGAAGAAGAAGTCGAAAGGAAACAAACGAAAGAAGGTAGAGGTATATCGCTTTAATATAGCCGTAGAGGACGAATAGAATACATTCTTATTAACCGTAATAAATAGATGCCCTATATAATATAACGAAATCTATTAATACTATACGAGTCGGTCGCTAAGTCGGTACTAACTTAGTATACGTAGTAGACGTATGCAAATGCTAGTAGTTACCCGAGTATGCGTATAAACGTTAGATGTTAGTAGAAGCAACAATCGTATAATATACAGATCCGATAGAAAATGTAATTCAAATGCTAGTACTAGTATATACGACGACTCGAGCCTGACTCGATATACGAGTCGGACAGTAAAGAATAAAATTCTTACTACGAACAGATTTGCTAGAATTTCTAGATCGCGACGATCCTGTTAGACAAGATCTTTAACGTGCGATCCTAAGGATCCTAAGGATCCTAAGGATCCTAAGGATCCTAAGCGATCCTATCGATAGGATCGTCGCGATCGGTAAAAAAGTTTCCGTAACGTAGTACCGTTAGCACCGGTTGTCCTATAATCCTAGCTACGCTCTCGATAAGCTCTTTTAATAGGCCTCTAGTACTACGAGCTAGAGAGTTAGACGCATATTATATAAGTAGGTCGTACTAGCGGCCCTTCTTAGCCTATTCGTCTAGTAAACGCTCTTTCTTAAGGATGCATATATGCTACTTAATTAGCTTACAAGTAGTATATAAGGTACGAATCTTACGCTCGCCTAGCTCTAGAACAGCTATTACGCGCTTACGTAATTCGTCGTCCTTAAGGCCTTTCTTAAAGTAGGATATAGTTAACGTAAGGAGCGACCGGGCCGCCTAGCTAGATAGATTCTTATTGTCTTTACCTCCGGCCTCCCGAAGTAGCTTAGAGGTATTACTATAGTAGGCGGGCAACTTTCTATCTCCCTAGTCGAGCTCTATAATCTACGGTACTATATTTAGCTTAGATTCCTCTTCCTTTCTCTACTTCTTAACAAAAGCCTCTCTTAGTAAGTCGATGTCCTCCTCTAAGACAGTTATAGTAGACTTAAAGAGTTCCTTAACTCGGTAATTATACTTAACCTAATAGAGGACCTTCTTGCTATCGAGACAATCCTTAATCTCGTCGATAATATCTCGGGTATCGGTATATCCCTCCTTATAGATCTATTATAGAGTCGTATCGAACTAGTACTTAACGTCTTAGTTCTCGGCTACCGAAAAGATCTAACGTAGGTTCGCGAAAGTGCTAGTATTAGAGCTAATACTAGTATTAATAGCTGCTATCTTACGGAGATTAAAGGTTCCCTAGGATCGAACGAGCTTCTTTTACTTTATATAGTCGTAGACGAAGTCTTAGGCTACGGCTACGGCCGATCGCGGTATTAATAGCAAATAACTAGGTACGTTGCTTTTAAAGCCTAATAAGCTTTCTAACGGTAGTAGGCTAGGTAGGGTTATCGATAGGGAATCGGAACGTCGTAGAAGCTAGCGCGAATCTATAGTAGCTTACTATATCGGGGTGTTATAGTTAAGACCTAACTAGCTAGAGATATTATTAGAAGAGGAGAAGTCTTACTCTAAGGCTATCTTACTTCTATTACCTAGGTATCTACTACTCCCTATTCTTTGCTCTTCTTACTCTAAGCGCTCTACCTATACCTCCTTAGTTGCTCCTACTTTCCCTCTACTCTAATATCCTTACTACTCGCTCTCGTTCCCCTCTTTCTCGCCGTCGCTCTATCGATTCCTATAGAAGCCTACGTTAAGGCTAGGGTAGATTCTCGTCGATAGATTATATAACTGTAATAGTACGCTAGCGCCGGTTAATTTCGTATCCTCGTATATCTATATATATATCGTTCTGTCCTTGTACTAGTTTACGATAATAGATCGGTTAGGTGCTTATATTAATAAGTCTTAGGTAAGTGCTTTTATATAATAGGTCCTAGTTAGCGAAGGCGCTTTCTGCCGAGCTTGCTACTCGGCTTTCTGTATCGGTAGCCTAGTAGTTTAGGGTTTTGGAGTTGCGGCTTAAGTCGCGTAATATCTTCGGCTACTACTATCTAGGTTACTAGATTACTAAATATAGTACGTCGACTGTCTTTTTAGTCGCTAATCTACTATCTCCTAGCTACTAGTCTACTATCTTCTAGGTTGCTAGTCTGCTATCTCCTTAGCTGCTAGTCTGCTATCTTCTCGGTTACTAGTCTACTATCTTCTAAGCTACTAGACTTCGGTCTTCTTAGCTGCTGTTTTTTCGCGTAGGTTAGTTCTACTAGTATAGGGCTCTTACTAGCCGCAGCTCCGCTACTTCTTCCTCCTACCTATATATTATTAGTTGCTATACCTAATAGGCGGAACTATTAGTAGTCCTACCCTACGTCGGTTACTAGAAAGAGGAGTTAGATATAAAGGGGTTTAATTATAGTCTATCTACTAGAAATCTATCCTTCTATATAGTCGCCTATAATAAACGAAGATAGGAGATATTCTAGTCCCTCTACGTAACTAGCCGAAATACCGTTTGTAACTATCCTCCGCTTCCTAACAAGGTTCGGCGTCTTCGTAATTGCTACTACTTTTACCCTTGCGTAACTTAGTATAAACATTATAGCAATTTCAATCTCTACTAGAACTAATATAACTGCTTTACTCCCGCGATAGATTAACATTCGACGTAGGTCCTATATTTGCGTAGCCGCCGGTCTAGTAATGTGTCCTTAGAAATATAACAAAGGTAGATAATTATGCTCGGCTCCGACCTCGAGACTAATCTAGACTTTATAACAGTTAACTACCTCGACCGACATACCTAAGATCTCTAGCATTTTTGAGATCCCGGGAGCTTTTCCAATTACAGGTCATCTTCTAGAATTGGGCGACGATCATGCCACTGTGTGTGAAGTAAGTAGGCCGAAAGTCTTAGTCTTGCGGTCCGATTGAAGTTGACGCTATAGTGGCAGAAATACAAGAAATCCGTCTTTTAAATCCGACTGGGAAATACGCGTGCAGTTGTCATCAACAGCTTCGAGGATTGCAAACGAATGTTGATCGGAAATCAATCTGCTGTCATCGATCGTCCGAAACTCTATACTTTCCATAGACTCATTTCTTCCACTCAAGGCTTTACTATCGGGAGCAGTCCTTGGGATGAGAGTTGTAAGAATAAAAGAAAGGCTGCTGGGCAGACTCTTGGGCGGCCGGCTATGAAGGGCTATCAGGCAATGTTCGTGAGTAAATAGCTTGGAGGGGGTTTTTTTTTCTCGGGGACGACTGCATTTACTGATAGGGCCTAAACAACAAGGACCTTGAGACGTATACTCTCATCCGTGACCTTGTAAAGGATAGTAGCGGAGACTGTGGCGAAACTTATCTCAATCCTCGACCCTATCTGCAACGGTATGCACTCAATACGACTTTGACGTTATGCTATGGCATCCGTATGGATAGCGTTTGGGATGACATGTTGCGAGAAATTCTCGAAGTTGGATCGGCCATCTCGCTTTTGAGAAGTGCGAGCGAGAATATGCAGGACTAGGTGCCAAGTGAGTGAGGATGACTTGGGGATATTGCAAGAATCATGGAAAGCCTGTCTGACACTTCTCTCGCCAGTTTTGAGGTACCTGCCCAATAACGAGAAAAATCAAAGAAGCAAATCTCTTCGTGATCGGAGAGATAAGTACTTCAATGAGCTATTGGTAAGTGTCAAGAGAGGGTGCATGTATTCGACGAAACAGAATGCCAGTGATTAATCGAAAGTGACTATCTAGGACCGAGTCCGAGAAATGATCCAGCATGGGACCGACAAGCCATGTGTCTCAGCAGCGATTCTTAAGGACGAAGAGACGAAGCTGACGGGCGTGGAAGTCTCATCCATCTGTCTATCTTTGGTATCTGAAGGCTTTGAAACGATTCCTGGAACGCTGACGAGTTGTCTTGGGTCATTGGCCACGCCAGAAGGTCAAGTGTTCCAAGAACGTGCCTATGAAGACCTCAAACGCCACTATCCGAATGTTGAGGACGCGTGGAAGCAGTGTCTCGAGAGTGAGGATATTCCCTACATCAATGTGAGAGTCTCATCAAACCTGGTGATGGAGATGCTGACTGGGATGCACTGGCAGGCGATTGTGAAGGAGGCCGGGAGATTCTACACGGTCTCGTCGACGAGTCTTCCTCGCAAGGCTGCCGTCGATATTCCTTGGGATGGCGCTTTGATTCCTAAAGGGACGATGATCCTCATCAACGCCCAAGCCGGAAACCATGAAGTAGGCCACTGGGGTGCAGATGCTGCAACATTCAATCCCGAAAGATGGCTTGAGGAACTTGATCCTCCGAAAGAGAAAGCTTCAAGCGGACTACAACATCTTTCTTTCGGCGCAGGAAGTCGAGCATGCTCGGGTCAGCATATCGCGAGCAGGTCAGCATTCATAGCCCAAGCCCAAGGGCAAGCGTTGACTTGAATATACATGTACTGATTTGGAGATAGGCTGCTATACTCGGCATTAGTACGACTCCTTTCCAGCTTCAGAATTGTGGCTTCTCCTGACGAGCCACCAAATACCGATTATGTGGATTATAATGCGGTACATGCATGCGACGAACGGTCCTTACATATCAACGTAGTCGCTGACACTAGATTTCTCAGATCAAATCCGCGCTTGTGGCGATTCCTCGTGATTTCAAGGTAAGACTCATTTCAAGGGACGAAGAAGCGCTAGAGTCCTGCCTTCGGAGCGGCGAAAACAGAACGAGGGACGCTTATGCGGAGAGATCGCATGGGTCGGGTGGGCACGGGCGAAAATTGTATCAATGAATTGTCACCAACAGCAATAGCGACAGAACGTCCAAAAGAAGCGAGCTAAAACACACAGGCATCTTGATAGCCCGGCCTTCCTCTGGTGGCCCGCTCTGCGCAGCCCTGAAGCCACTTTGTTTCTTGACTGCGTGTCCTCCACAGTCAGCCTAGTCAGGTTCTGACTTCACGTGAATGAAGCGAGGTAAAGCGAAACTTTCCCAGAGAAATCTCAGCCGCTGCTAGGGACAGAGTAGATGACTAAGAGTGTGCGGTAGCTCGGGCGCTCGTTGGTAACATGGTCGTGAAAAGCCTTGTGCTCTCAGGGACGTTGTAGTCGTTCATTGTCTTCGTTCGCCGCCCTTTGAAGCGCTGACGAGCGCGAGTGGAGGTCTCTAATATGTGGATATTACGTCTTTCTCCGTTATGGCTTCCTTGGTTCGATTTGTCGGAGTAGAAGTCTTCGTCTGGCATGTGAGTCGTCGTCGCATTACCCGCGAGAGACGTGTTAGGAACGTCCTCCCAGGAGTTACCATCAGAGAGGATAGCAGAAGTTTGGTCGTCAAGGCAAGAGTCTCCGGCCGTGACTCGATCAGACCTGGGTCCGTAGCTCTTTGTAGACGGTACGGAGCGTGGTGCTGGGGAAAGTGGCGCAGAATTGTCCTGATACACGCCAACAGTCTTGCCAATGCCATCAGCAGAAACACTTTCGCTGTCTTGACTTTCGATTATGAACTCTCTCCACAGGCTCTCGTCGTTAGGAAATTGGTCATTCGCATCCTCCTTAGAAGGTATCGAGTTTGCGGTCGGCACCGAATTTGTCTTGTTCGCATATGCCTCTTGTTGATGGTCAGGCTGAACACGCTCTAAAGCTTGGATCTGTTCTTTCATCAGTCTGCGTTTCTGGAACGAGAAAGGACGAAGACGAAACGAACCTGGACACCACCATCGGCTGGGTGAATGTCGTTGCTTTGCTCGTCTTGATGTGCCGGAAAGCTTTTCAGCGGCCAGACACCAAAGTCGGACTCAGAGCCGTGAGTGCTAGACGATCTCAACACAATCACTGAGGCCTGGGTCGCGAGACTTTGCTTGACGTTCAAGGCGCGCTGCCATCTGCCCTCGTCATGTGACCGGGTGGTTATTGGTGTGTCGGAACGTGAGTCAGTGTTATGGTCTTCTGCTGTTCTAGTAATGGAAGGTATGTACATCTGCGCCTCTCCTGGATACTTTTCAGACCAGGGTTCGATCTGATCTGTTTGTTGCCATCTGTATGTGAAGGGGTCGTGCGTCATATCGACGGCTTTCGAGGCAGCGTCTGGGTCTTGATTATTTGCGAACGGCATCGTCCACGACTGTAGGGTCAAGGTTTCGTCTTGATCCAGCTCGAATGGCCGCTGATTGATAGGCAAGGAAGTCTGAGAGTCATCTCTGTAACTAGGCGTCTTCGGAGAAGGCTGGCTGAATCTGCGAATGAGTGTCTGTGCCCAACCAGCTTCAAAGCCATCTTCATCGACGCCGAGAAGCATGCTTTCTTCGGAAAGCGGCCCAGATTCGACTGAGATAGGGCGTGGACTTGTCGCAACTGGAGTCTGAAATTGACGAGAAATCTGCGTTTGAGTGGCTACAGCGTCTGTACCTACCTTGATCTGTATATCTTGAAATGGCAATGCTCCGCTCATGCGTGGTTCGAAGTGCTGCCCTTGGAACGGAGGGGTTGGAACTCGTTCATGCTGCTTGTGAAAGCCGTGCAAGTCAGGCCGGCGGTGCACTTTGCGTCGCTTGCCGATTCTGTCCTTCTCGCGGCCCTGATTGAACTTGAGCCGCACTGGCCTGGCTGCTGCTAGCCCGAGCCAGTCGCGGCGTGCCAAGAGTTTTCTTTTCTGGGCTCGCAGACTGTCTGCCTCACTGACTTCACGTGTCGGAGTCAGCGATTGGGTGTTTCTAATATATCTGCCCGAGCTGCCATGCTTGTCTCGTTCAGCAGGCGGATGTTCTGGGCGCCGAGAGGAAGTCGATGAGCGGGACATTGGGGAGCGAGTGAATTTTTCACGACGTCGCCGGCGCTGTGTAGACTGCGAACGGTGGCGGTGGCGACTGCTGTCTGATTTGCGCGTGTGCAATGGCTCCTGACGCGCATGCTCAGCGAAATGATCACGGGGTGGTGCTTTCATGAACGGGGGTGTCGAATGTGATGGCGGCGGATGTTCTGCGCAGGCGGCGGCCATCTTGGAGAAATGGGCTTTCTGTTTCCGCAGAACAGCATTCTCTTTGCCTTTTGCGAATCGTCGCCGAGTGCCGCCTGTCCAATCCATGATGCATTGTTTGACGCGCGCGTTGCACGAAAGCACGCGTGACGTTGATGCACAAAGCTCAGATGAAGTCTCGAAGCTTATTATAAATCCGGCTTTCCCTCACGCCCGTCAAGCCCGTGCAGGCAACGTCGGTCGTCCAACTCGGGACATCCTCTGCTTTCACAATCTTTCCAGCATGACAGAATGATAGTACTTCGAACGCTCTTGGGCTTGCAGGAACAGATGCTCGTGCAAATCAACTAATAGGCATGTCCCTGCCAGTACGCAGCTTCTGGCACAGACGAGCTCCGCAATGCAAGGCGCAATGCAAGGCTCAATGCCGTGGATACCTGTTCGAGCTGTAACCTGCCACGAGGCATTACAGAAGACGAGAGCAGACGACACAATTTCAAGACCGCCGATGCAACCATCATGCGCCTTTATCACGCACAAGGTCGTGGAAAACGAGCATCGCGATCACAGCCGCTCGAAGGCTGCAACACGACGTCAGGCCCATTCTGTCCTCCGACCACACATGCTCGAGCTGCGCGAGCATAGCATATGCAGGGAAGGCAACTTGCTGCGCTTACATGTGAAGAAATACTGCGAGGGCCCGCACTGCATGCAGCTCCATGCACCACGAGCACTCAATTGTTCACAAGCGTGAGTTGGCGGATATGGCGACGTAGTGGCACTGATAGCGTTCCGGAAGAAGCATTGGGTGTCTCTGAGAGCGCAACACCGTGCCACCAGGCAACGAAAAATGTCCCTGTCCCTGAACTCGTGCAGCATTGTTCGCTGTGGTTCCTGGCTCTGTGTCAGAATCAGCGGTGCAAGTGCCGGCTTGGCGATTGACCTGCTCAACGACATTCGGCCACATCTCAGGCTTGGCGCAAAACGTCATCGTGCCGCGACCAACGGCCACCTCGGACCGCGCTATCCAACGCAACAGGAATAGTCCGGAGTGTAACAACGACGGTTGAGGCAGAGGCGAACAATGGGCTGTAGGCCATGGCCGGCATGGAATATCTCTCACACATTCACATGCTTCCTGCTTCCGCTCTTGCGCCTGCTCCCGCTCCGGCTCCGCTCCGAGACCAACAACCCAGTAGTCAGCGCGGTATTTTGGCCCGAGCCTTACCCTGTGGTGCCGCCGGCCCTTCGAATAATGTCATGTCGCACGGCTGCTAATTGCGTTGCATGACCACTACAGTCTCCAGGCGGCGCTCACAGAATTTCGTAGGCGACCCACAATATCTCCAACTCTCGTTATTGGTAGTATGGGAACCGACGTCCCTGCTGGCGCTGGCGTTGACTCGCTGAACACTGCTACCGCGCCGCGCGCCAGAAGTCGGTGCGCACGCCCGCCTCCGCCTCCGTTGTTCTCATATGATGAGATGACTAGGACGCCTGTCTGCAAGTTCGACCAACTCCACACACCATCCCACAGCCTCCAGAGGTCTCCATAAATTATCTGCTCTTAAGTCGCCTTCTCCTGCCCGACCTCGACTTCTTTTCCTCTGCACAGCCTCTCGCAAACATCCAATATCTGAGGCCAGATCGATCGCCTTACACAAACTTACAACCCACCATGTCTGCCTCCTCTCCGGTCCCGAGGCCTTCAAGGCCCTCAAGGACTCTTCGCAGAGTCAGCTCCAGCGAGATCACTCTCAGCACGTTGAACCTGCGCTCTCCAACCGTAGTCGTTCCACCCAAGCACTTGATGGCACCCAGTGACGCCCACGAAACCGCCGCGGCAATGGAATTGGCCAGGCATGAACTTGAAGATGCCACCTCACCTCTATCGTCTCCATCGACACCACCGGTCACCTCTGTGACGGACAAGTTTGCCTTTGCCTTTGATATCGATGGTGTCCTGATCCGTGGTGGTCGGCCAATTCCAGAAGCTATTGAGGCCATGAAAGTCCTTAACGGCGAAAACGAATATGGTGTCAAGGTTCCCTACATTTTCGTCACTAACGGGGGCGGCAAGTCTGAACAAGAACGATGTGTTCAGCTCAGCAAGCAACTCGACATCGAAGTCTCGCCTGGCCAATTCATCTGCGGACACACGCCGATGAGAGAGATGGCCGAGAAGTACAAGACTGTACTTGTCGTTGGAGGTGAAGGAGAGAAATGCAGGCAGGTTGCCGAAAGCTATGGGTTCAAGGACGTCGTCACCCCGGGCGACATCATCAAATACGATCCAGACACGACTCCGTTCCGCAAGCTCACCGAAGACGAGCTGGAGAATTCGAAATCCAGGAACTTCGCAGAGACCAAGATCGAGGCCATTTTCGTCTTTGCTGACAGCAGAGATTGGGCTGGAGACCAACAGATCATCTTGGATCTACTCATGTCCAAGGGTGGCTATCTTGGCACGCGCTCCGAGACTTTTGACGAGGGCCCGCCAGTATTCTTCTCTCACAATGATGTCGTATGGTCTGCATCTCACGATCTCACCCGTCTTGGCATGGGGGCGCTTCGTCTTTCCCTCGAGGCCATGTTCAAGGCTGTGACTGGCAAGGAGCTGAACACGACCGCGTTTGGCAAGCCACAAATCGGAACTTTCCAGTTCGCCACGAGACTGCTCCAGCAATGGCGTCGAGATACCCATGGCATCGATGCGCCCCCCGAGACCGTCTACTTTGTTGGCGATACACCCGAGTCAGACATTCGCGGAACAAACGAGTTCAACAAGCAATCTGAAAGTCTCTGGTACTCTATTCTTGTGAAGACTGGCGTCTACCAGCCGGGCACCAAGCCCAAGTTTGAGCCCAAGGCTACGGTCGAAAACGTCCTCGAAGCTGTCTTGCACGGCATCGAGCGTGAACAAGCTCGTGAGCAGAAGCGAGCATTCAAGGATGCTCTCGACGCGACCGAGGATAGACTGAAGGGTACTACTGCTTTGGATTCACGCCCGGACTCACCCCTGGACGAGCAGAAGAATCCATAAGAGTCTTTGGATGCGGCGGCACAAACCATCCAGCACGGATCCTGGGCTTCTACTGCAACAACAAGATCGAATGATTTAGGGATATGATTATGGCGTTCTGCATTAGTCACGGCGCAACGGAATTCCGAGATTCTTTGATACCAATGATACCCGCCTCACGATGAAGGCGGAACATTCGAAACTCGATAAAATGATAGAGGAAGATGAAGATGATAATAGAGTTGTTAGAGATGAGAGTAAGCAGATGGGAAGTTTGAAACTCGTCCATTGTGCTCCATGCTTAGTTTGCTACAATTTTTTTACCTACTGGGAGGACCTTCGGTTACGGCTGGTATGCGAAAAGTCCCTGCGGCAAATGTGTTACACTGTCCCTCCACTTCTCGGTCTCATTGCAATCGTGGCAATCGATGAAACATCATCATAAGTTACTCTGCTTGAAAATTTCCGCCGACCTTGCCGATCCCTTCTCGAGGTAGAACCTAGAGATAAGTTGCTCTCCTCTCTCTTCTACCTTGCTTTTGCCGTTCAAGTTCCGAATACTCTCCATTCCATAACCTTGGCATAGGTTGATCGTGTACGAAGACCCTGAAGCATGGGCCCATGTCCACTATGACGCACTTTCCGTCGTGTAGAATAACGAGGCGCCTGCCGGAGCGCTGACATGAAATTACATAAGCACAGAATTCGGCACGAGCAATTGATGCTTTCGGCCTCGCAAGTCAGAAATCCACTATGATGATGAGACCAAAGTCCTCTCCTCGTAAAGGGTGCGAAGCTGACAGGCAGACCACCGACGCAACGCCGCCGCCGCGGCGCATTTGTGGTGGACCGCTAGAACTTGGCTTGAGACAAGCATCAGCCATTTGATTACAGTAGTTTGGAACAAGTGGGACCCTCTGACGAACACCGAAACGCAGGTAAACGACCACGTGGAGAAAGACTGGGTCCAATAACTCCGCGTCCCGAGTCCCTGACGTTCAACTGCCTACCCCATCTGGAGAACTCTAGCACGATGCAGCATATCCACTTGGTCACAGTCCGAGGAGCTCACATGCGGTTGGAAGTGGGGGGAGTCGGGACATCCAGGAGGTGACCACGGACGATCTCATCTTGTGCTTTGCACAATCGGCGATGATATACAATCGTAAGCAGCACTAGTCAAAAGGCAGAATCTTTGCAAAAAAATGCAAATGTGTATGGATCTTTCCCGAGTATCCTATAGGTCTCTGGGGCAGAGCAACGCCGCAATGCACGGAGTCAAGACCGGCATTGGCGTCCTGTACATGTATGTATGTGCGCTGTACTTGTGTGCTACCAGATCTCGAGAGCTGCAAGCCACACCTTAACTTACGAGCTCTCTAACCCCCATGAAAAGCGCACAAGCGATACAGCCGCTACAATCACATCTATGATGACGGACGGCTTGGGGATTAAGGATGATAAGACAAATTGCATTCGTGGCACGAGTCAGGCATCTTATGTCTTGGAGGCATTTGGCTTTCCTCGCTACAGACATTGCTCTTGCCGTGAAGAGTATGCTCTCGTACATGCTTCTCTGTTCTCCCCCTCACCCCCAACATTACCAATGCCATATCTATCACAACAGCGGCCTGCGCTATGGGCACGCTGCTTCCTTCCTCTTTTTTACATCAGACAGCCTCAAACTCCATCACACTTTTCACATGGTCATGCTTTCCAGCGAGCTGTAGCATTTGCTTCCCTAGCCGCCATATGGGCCAAGTTCCCAGAATTGTTCGTAGTTGTGCTGGCTTGTCGTTGGGCTGCAGTACCGTTCGCCGCTCCTGCACTCAGCGGCACACCGTTACTGGTGCGTTTGCCACCCGCAAAGGTCGCAGAGTTAGCCGAGTTCACGGTGCTGTGCCGCCTGACACCCCCTAGCTGCTTGGATGGCGAGCCCTGAGGTTGGTTGCTGTTCGAAGCGGTACCATTGCGCAATGCTGTCTGCGGTGTCTCGGGTAAAGGTCTGCTTCTCTCTTTAGCTGGCGTTGCCTGTTGCTGCTGCATTGCGAATGCATTTGCAGAACCACTGCTTGTCCCTGCGGTAGTCGCAACTCGCTTCACAGGGCTGGGTACGCTTCCATTTGTGTTCGGCACAGCAGCCGTAGGTCGCACTCGTGCAGGGCGACGGGCTTCATCTGGTATCCCGGGACGTTGCTGTAATGGCTGGTTCGTGATAAACGGATGGTTGATGGCATCGTTAGGCTTCATCCTTCGATCTGGGTCCCATCGCAAGCAGCGTGCGAGGAAGTCCGAGAATGCCTCATCATCTGTCTTAAGAGCCTGCGAAAGCGTCTTTGAGCTGGGACGCCGTCTTCTCCCCTTGCTACTGACAGTGACGCGAGGCTTGCCCACAGAATCGAAGAAAAGCTTCTTTCGAGTGCATCGCTCCACAAGGTGCCGATCGGGAGGCCCGAATATCTCCATGATGCAAGCGAGTTGCTCCTGCTCATTTTCTCCAGGAAATAACGGATAGCCGGTCCAGAGTTCGGCAAGGATACAACCCAAGGACCACATGTCGATGCCCAGGCCATAGCTGCTACCCAGAATGACCTCCGGACTTCGATAAAAGCGCGATTGAATGTACGTATACACCTTCTCTTCCTCCTTGCAACTGCTTCCGAAGTCGATGACCCGTACGTCGGCTTTGCGTGCTTCACACAGCAGTATGTTCTCCGGTTTGAGATCGCAATGAATGATGCGCTTTTGCTGCAATAAAACCAGGCAAGCAAGCAATTGTCGCGCAAATCGACGAATTAATGGCAGCGGGAATCCAACAAAGTTGTGAGCTCGTATGAGCTCATATAGATTGATGCTGAGGCATGGCGTGACGATGCACAAGTGAGAGCGGAAGTAGAACGACGATGTGATGGAGAGCGTCGCGTGAGCTCCATCGGGATCCTAGTGACTGTCAGCCTGAACACATATATCGCGCAAACCAGTTGAGAACTCACCCAGTCTCTGAGTCGACCCAGTATGCCGACCTCGACCAGAGCCTGCTGGTGGAACCGTTTCTTGTTCCTGATAATTTTCACTGCCACCAGACCGCCTGCTTTGTGATCTATGCATCGGACCACCTGGCCAAAGCTGCCTTTGCCAAGGATGTCAACAACCTCGTACCGGTATGCCAAGTGGTCTCCGAGCACTATGTTGTAGTCGCCGCGCTCATCGTCATATCCATAGTTGCCAGATTTGGAGTCCTTGTCGCTCGAAGAAGGCTGAGGTGATGGGGTCAGACTGCCGACGATCTTGCGTGCGTTCTTGGTGCCGGTGAAATAAATGCCGTCTTTCTCGTAATCCATGATTTCTCCACGTTCGAAAATGTTCAGCGTACAATTCCGATCATGCAAGACGCGTTCAGGAGTCAGAGGCGAACGTGGCACGGCGCGCTTCTTAAGCCCCTCAGTCTCGCGCGCAGTGCTGTCGACGTCCCGTCGCTTTTGTGAGAGTCGACGCATCTCCTCGTCAGCAGCCAGGTCATCCTTGTCCTTCACTATAGCAGAGATACTGGTTGCGAAGGATCCTTGGCGAGCTTTCGGGTTCGTTACGGCAGCCTTCGAAACATTAGGTCTTGTCGTAGGATTGACGTTGCCCCAGCTTGAGGCTCGATTCGAGAGGTTAGCAGGCTGTGGCTGCTCACTGTGCAGGCTACTCTTCGTTTTGGCGACAGGTGGGGCTGGAGGCGCCGAGGGGGTATGTTCAATGTCTGTCGCTACCACATTGCTTGTAGCATGTTCGCCGAGGCGGTATTTGACTTGCGACGCATAGAATCTAGGCTTGGCCGCGCTGTGGCGACAGGGAGAGTAGGTATATCTCCAGTCCATGTAGCGCTGGCTGGTAGTCTCGGGGGCGGCATCTCGCTCTGTCGCTTGTGCAATTTGTTGGGAGCAGATTTTTCTTTGTCAGAGGCAGAGCCACCAGAGTTATCTTGATGAGGGCTCGACTTATGATCCAGGATATTCGCCGCTTTACTGCTGCTTCTGCGCCAACTACGAGACAGCTTTCTTCGAAGACCACCCCCGTTTTCTTTCTTCGTTTCGACATTCTCTGCCGTTGGCCCCTCGAATGAAGAAGGCGTCTCAGCGGTCTTGTAGGATGTATCAGTCCCGCTCCGGCTAGGTCTGGGCCCTTGAGGCTTCAGTGACACCGAGTCCTGCAACTGATGATTTTGAAATCTGCCCAACGTGAATTCGCCAGTGTAATCGCCGCTTGGACGAGCACGAGCAGCCCGCACATACTCTCCGGACTGCTTCGGTAGTGATCCCGAAGAAAATGGAGTGATGGCGTTTCGCTGCTTCGGACCCGGAATTGGAACACCACTACCAGCGAACTCATTTTCTGTGTCATCGAAGAACTGTGTGACACTGTTGTCATACTGCATCGGACCTCTTAGTGCATAGTGTGATGAGGAGCTTCGCATGGCTTTTTGCTTGGCCATTTCCTCATCCTGGCGGCGCGTGAAAGTGGCTTTACTTGCTGTCATGGGTGTAGAAGGAGTCTTCGCATTTCGCTTGGGCTCTGGAGTCTGTGCAATGCCAGCAAAACTCGCGAAATCATCGTCGCGCACGAGATCTTGGCTAGGCCTCGAGAAGCCAGATTTGCTGTTGCTGGAGGAGTGGAGGGGCATGAGATTCAATGGCGGAAGGCGAAGGGGCTGAAGACTGCTATTCTTGCGGCCTGTGGCATCCAGTTGCTGCTGCCGTGCCGGTTTAGCAGCTTCAGCGGCGTTCATACTTCTCTCAATGTTTTCCATGGTACTTATGCGATGATGCACTCGGCTGAGATCCACGGAATGTTTGGAGCGCCTCTCCGATTGCTGCGGTCTCGACAGTAAGGGTATGTCGCTTTCGGGCTCGCCTACCATTCGCTCACTGCTACCGAAGTTGCTGCCAGACTGTGATGTTCGCAGTGCGTTGGTAAAGAAAGGCAGCTCGCATTCGCGAGGGCTTTCGTATGCCTTTGGAATAGCTGGCACCGGTGGCACAACTTCTTCTTCTTCGTCGCCGTACTGTGCAGAACTGGAGTGCACATTTCTTGGTTTCGGCGTAGGCAGACGTGAGGCCGATCCGGACGAGTTGTTCAAGGATTGGTAGCTTGATTTTGAGCTCAGACTCACTCCGCCGCCTCCCTGGCTGAATCCGAAACGCGCTTCAGGAGAGGCTCGTGCAGACGTAGGAGTTGCGACGCTTGCTTTCCTGGGAATCAAGCTTGGGCTGGGTTGAGCAAGTCTCGGGAACTCAAGCTTCGCGGCTCCAAACTCTTCAGGTGGTGGAGGCGGAGGGTGATCTTTAGGTGGATTGCCTGGCAGAGGAGGAGCCTGCATCATTGAAAGTCTCTTCAATCGCCGTGCGTCGGTTGGACTGATTGTGCGTGCACCTAAGCCAGATGCCCTGCCTGAAGCAGTAGACTGGCGCTTATTCCCCGAGGACGACGGAGTGTGAGCTCGAGCAAGATGGGCCTTGGATACAGGCCGCACTGGAGGCGTGTTTGGGTCTGCCGGCTCCCTTGGAGGGGGCTGTAAACTTTTCACCTTGTTCGCCCGCGACTGAGTGGTAGCTTGCAGCGTGGAGACACGAGGCAACTCCGCTCCCCCAGATGCCGGTGGCTGCATTGTGGTACGTCTCGATTTGCTGAGGCTGCTCGTTCGCGCGAGGCTGCTTTTGAGATTCGGGTCGGTGGCAGCGCTCGGCAACGGCTGACTGGCTTTTCGTGCTTCCATCATCGAAGAGATCACGCCCGGACCAAGCGATTTGCGAGGAGGCCGCGTGCCTGCACCGACAGGAGGCGGCGCGGGTCCAGACGGAGGCGGGCCTGTAGGTGCTGTACTTTGGCGTCTGCTTCGTAGAGACAGGCCACCAGGCTGCGACGAGCCAGACGCGTCCCTTGACCTCTCCTGATGCGATGCCTGCTTGCTACCACCCGTGACTGCGCTCAGCCTCCGACGCAAGCTCGATGTCCTGGTCACGACAGCGTCCTCACCCAGCCTGGACGCCTGCGGCTTGCTGCCTTCCAGGCCTGACCCCTTCGACATACTGCTGCCGCTGCCACTCGTCTCTTGATGCGTTGTCCGGCCTCCTCCCGCTGCCGGGAAGTCGCTCAGGAGCGGCCCATTCCCGTCATAATTAGCAATAGAATTTTGTAGATCGTCAAAGTTTACTGTTGGAATAAAGCCGAAGTCGTCGTTGCCAACCGGATCGGCAGGTGTCACTGGCGTATCAATGTTGTCGAGATTATCGTCATTGAACCCAAACTGTGCGAGTCCTCCTGGCTTGATGAATGGTTCAGAGGTGCTCTGGGGCAGGAAGGAGCGTGAGCTGTTGGTCGCCTCCGAGACGGAAGGTGTGATGGAGCTGATGCTGCCACTGGGCACTCTGCTAGATTTGTTAGCTTTTCTGCCGCGGTAGCACAGCATCATTGCGCCAGCATGGGCAGGGCATGTTGTGGCATACCTCTTGCCAGGACTGGGAAACTCTCTTGGCCCACTTGGCACCCTCACATTCTCTCGCAGCGCGCTTCGTCGTCGGTGACTGAAACTGGGCTTGTGATCGGCAGCTGGTCTTGTTGCTGAAGCCGGCAGAGCGGGCTTGCGGAACGTGTGATCGGTGGTGTCGGGTGGGTCAGCTGCTGCCGTGCGCTGGAACTTGCGGCGGACCAGAGACTCGGCTGCGCGGTTGTCAGTGGTCGAGTGTGAGGTGTAGCGATCCCCGGGTTGCATACATTCACTGCCCGAGCCTTCTGCGGGCGCATTGCTGCCATTCGCATTGCGCTCTCGCTCCAGATAGGAAGAGCCAGTGCGCGGCCTGGGCTGGAAGCGGGTGGCCACGTCCATGGTCAATAAAAATGCTGGCGAGGATCGTCACGGTCGTCTCAGTGTACGGGCGGTCAATGCAGGCGCAGAGGGCGCGGGAGGGACACGACACGTCCACGCTGTGTGGTCCAGAGGCTGCTTCGCCGGTGTTTGTTGTGTACAGAATATCCACCCTGCTCCGCCAGCTCCGTGCAGTCTCGCTCACTCAATCAAGCGCACATGAAAGTCGCTGCGTTCATCGAGTGGTGCTGCATCGTGGTGGCCCGCACTCAGGACTGCATCTGCGTGGCCAGGGCAGCAGGCGTGATGGGGGTGGAGTCGCAATGGTGTGCAACTGCTGTGCCTGCCGCTGTACCGCTGTCCGTCGGATAACCTGGTCGTGGCGGCTCAGGCTCAGGCTGATCTGATGGTGCAGCTGGCCGCGTGCTCCCGCAGACGAAGTGTAGCTGTCTCTGGGCAGACGTGGCACAACGGGGTGTCAGGCCGGAAGGAGAAATGGGAGTGGAAGTGTGAGTGAGCACCAGAACTACTATGGAGGCCCAGACGCCGCACTGCGCTTCCCGCCGTCTCTCTCCCGTCGTCTTCACACACCTCTCGTCAGCACCGGCCACAGCAACGGTAGCCTTCCACTAGCAACGGCACTCCCTGCTCGCCGAACCTTGCTCCACGCTGCACCTCGACCGTCGTGATAATTACACTCCTCCTGTCCACTAGGAAAAGGCCTGCGACCTGCGACCTGCGACCTGCGACCTGCACCTCCTGAGCGCGCAGTGAGCGAGCGAGCGACAGTGATAGTCGTACATCTGTTGGCCACGACTCACCACGACTCGAGCGTGCCCATCGCTGCACATGACCAGGCACGCTTGCTTCTGCTCCAGACTCTGACTCTCGCGCTCCTGCATATCGCCAAAGCTTCATGCCCTGGCTGATCGTTTGGGCTACCTAGCTGTCCCGCGGCCCGGCCCGGCCCGCTCATCCGCCTGTCCGTCATCCGTCGCCGTCTTTGCGTGGTACATCCTCCAAGATCTACCACCGTTTTTCAGGCACACTTCTTCCTGCATCACGCACGACTCTGCCTGGCCCATCATGGCCCGTGATCCTCTGATCGGTCTCGTTGGCAAGCCATCGTCGGGCAAATCCACAACTCTCAACAGCTTGACTGACACAACAGCTAAAGTGGTATGGATTCGCAGAGGCTCTATCTTTCGAAGCATCACCACTGACTACGATGTTAGGGTGCGCCATCCTTGGACTGAGTCCGCATCGAATCGCAATGTACTGATCCCATACGCCAGGCAACTTCCCTTTCACAACGATCGAGCCAAATAGAGCGATAGGCTATTTGCACATTCAATGCGCTTGCTCTCGAACATCAATATCAGGCAACCAACCGCAGTCTCCACTCGACCCGCCAGTGCTTTCGACCAGATGTAGACCCAACTATGGCTCATGTCAGAAGGGAGTGCGGAGTGTGCCTATCGAGCTGCTAGATGTTGCGGGACTCGTACCAGGCGCACATCAAGGCAAAGGACTTGGCAACAAGTTCCTCGACGATCTCAGACACGCCGATGCCTTAATTCATGTGGTTGATGTCAGTGGCACGACGGATGCGGAAGGAAAAGCTACACGAGGTTACGATCCATCGCAAGACATTGCCTGGTTAAGATCGGAGATCGTCAACTGGGTGCTTGGAAATTTGATGCAGAAATGGGGAGGCATTAAACGGAGGCATACAGCTGTGAAAGCCACGTCAGTTGAGACTCTCCAAGGACAATTCTCTGGCTATGGCTCGACCGCCGCCGTTGTAGCAAGGACTCTCGATAAGCTGAACCTGAAGGTACCCTTACCAGACTGGGACGATGAGACAATCAAGCGAGTTGTAGAGGCTTTTATTGACGAAAAGTCCCTACTGTTCTCGCGCTGAACAAGATCGACCACCCCGATGCGGATAAGAACGTCTCGAAAATTGCCAAATCAGAAAAGCCGGAGAGAATAGTACTCTGCAGCGCCATTTCAGAAGTGTTCTTGCGCCGACTTGTCAAGCAAGGCTTCATCCACTACATTCCTGGTTCTGAGTTCGTAGACACTAGGGAAGATCTTGTCGAACAAGGGGATCCAGATGGCGGCGGTCTCAAGGAAATGGACGAGAAATTGAAGACACGCATTGAAAACATGAAGGACATGGTGCTATATCGATTCGGAAGCACAGGCGTCAATCAGGTTCTGACGCGGGCCTCTGAACTGTTGGGCTTGACGCCGGTCTTTCCGGTAAGAAACATCGGCACGTTCGGCAGCGGTGAGGCTGGAACCGCAGGGGGCGATAGAGCAGCTGTGTTTCGAGATTGTGTCTTGGTCAAGAAGGGCAGTACTGTGGGAGATGTGTACCGAAAAGTGATGGGTGATGCTCCACTCGCTTATGTTGAGACTGTGGGCGGCGTCAGAGTGAGCGAGGACGATGAGGTCTCGCCCGGCAAGAACGATGTGAGTACTGTACTTTACAAGCGTCATGTAGTCTTCGCTAATTTTCGACAGATTTTATCGTTCAAGGTTGGCAGAGCGTAAGGTGCTGGTACCGCTCTACGGCTCTCACGATGTCTAGAACAATTTCTTGAGGTGGGGGCGATGTGCTGAAAGGTCTCACGTCCTAGCGAATACTTCATAATCGAGACACTGACTCTCGTCAGCCTCCGCACAAGTTACTAATATCGCGGTTGAACGCTCCTGCAACGACGACCAACCCTTCTCTTCACGCTTACACCGAAAGCAGGTCTTTCACCTATCCTCATCACTGTTGGTCTACAATCTGCCGGATCAGACACATAAAAATGTTCTTCGCACCAGAACCCACGCGCTGGCCGCTGAATCGACGCCGTGGGAACGTTCCTGCACCTATCCAGCCCAACCCACGTCCGCTCCCAGGACCAGGTATCCCACCCACCGATTGGCGCATTCCAATGTCTCCACGAGATGGTCTCGTTCCCCCATTCGCCAATTTGTGGCGCCCACTCGTCTTGCCTGACCCAAGATCACCGTATCCATCACTGATGACTCTATCTCCACCGCGGATGCCTGGTCTGCCTTCTCGATGGCAATGCGATCATGGAATGCAGGTCTCAGCCACCAGTAACGCTGCAGCCGCTTCCAACACCGTCCTGGATGGCATCGACCGTCTGGAAACCCCAAGATACTTCCTGCCATCCTTGAGCGCTGCTATACATGTGCAGGAACCGCCTACTCCGACAGCAAACTCCTGGCCACCTGCTCCTCTGACACCTGTTGAGCCCATAACTGCTCTCTTCCAACCTGCATACCGGACGCATACAAGTGCCAATATAGATGGCGCGACCGATTGCGCCATAAGACCACGGACCGCAAGAAATAATGAGACCAAGACTAAGGCGCCTCCGGCTTCTGCGATGTCTACGACGAGTAGTGATAGCTTTGACTCTGGCGATAAAACATCAGGGTCTCAGGTGCCCAGCCGTTTCACTGAGCATCTAGATGTCAGTGCCACGGCTGAATGGTTGGAGAGGCATCTGTCTATTGACAGTGGGTATGAGGCTGATTCTGAGCAAGAGCTGCTTGAGGACGTTGTGAGAGTTACTTAATTGTGTAGGCGTCTGGACTGGTACAAAGCCGGAGAGGTCTGTCTCCTTTTAGACGCTCCTGCCTCCATATGGCGAAGCCAATCTTGTAGGAAGGAGACAGGACAGGGAGAGGTGCTTTCCTGGAATGCATATTTTGCACATAATTGTATGAGATTCGTGGCCCATGACAACTTCTTTGATCGACTCAGCGAGCGTAATGGATATCATCAAGCTTCTGAGGCACTGCACAAGTAGAGCGACAGGAAGCACGGGCTGTGTATATAGACACAGTCACTCAAGTTGGCATACTATTTCGTTCACAAGCGAAGCTTTCGGGATCGCTTTCGGCGGCTCCGGATCTCTCACCCGTGAATGTTTGTATTGATCTACGCGACTTGGTCTTTCATAAACATCATCCTTAATAAAGAACTGCTTCATCTTCTTACAGTGCAATTTTCGCGCCAGAATCACGCGGTCGCGATTGATCGAGCGGACATTCAGAACCTTCGGCTTTGCGGAGGTCCAACGCGAGCTAGAGACGCGTTGCTGCAGATATCCATGATGTCTTCCCACAGCACGCCGAGCGCTGCAACAAACGCAAGCACAGCTGCGCACCAGACAACGAATCGTCGCGTCCTGGCAGATGTGTCTCCCAATGTCAGAGCAAACCATATTGCTGGAGTCCTGGATCGCAAGCCACTGAGTGGGAGCCCGTTGAAGCGATCTTTCAAAGCCAGTATGGAGGATGGATCGGGCTTCACGTATCTGAAGAAGCGAAGGCTCTCAGACGATTCACCGCTCAGTCAAGTGTACAGCAATGTTCAAACCCCATCTTCAGGGCCAAATTTCGTCACTCAAAATGCTATACAAATGCCATCTACCATTACCATTGATCAGGCTAGTCTCTACATGGAAGGAGGTCATGAGTTTGTACTAACGGGTGCAGCCTGTGGTGCCAGCATTCCAGCAGACGTATCCTACACAACCGAACAGTCCAGCTAGCTCTGCACACGATGACGACGGCCATGAGTCTGCAGAAGAGAGAAGATCATTTTCCTCGCTCATCAATTATGACCTATCCTCTCAAGCGGCTGCTGGCTCGCAGAGTGCGCCATCCACCTTACTTAAGGGACCATCATACGCTGAGCTGCTGAAGTTACGGCTCAGAGTAGCAATGTATAAGGTCCGGACGTAAGCATATGCTCGTACTCCACAGCTCACCTGCATTGCTGACATTTCACAAGCAACCAAGTCGATACCCCTTTCGAGGATCTTCAGGTAGAGACAAATTCTGAGCAAGAAATCACGCCGAATGAGGTTGAGGAGGAAGTAGCCTCACTACGTCGAGAAGCCCAAGCAAAAATGGGTCAGCTTCCAGTTCCGAGACTTCTTCCAGCACCAGTGCTCCTTCCGACAGCTTACAGCAGCCGCATGATTTACGACACTGCTCCGACGTCTAGCTCCCCACCCGCAGCGCATCATCACGCGCACTTTCCCCTCATGCACACTCCCAGGAGAGCAAGCGTCCAATCTGAAAAGGAATTGACCAGTAGCATCATTAAAGGCCGGGTGGCTGAAGGGTTGCTGGGACTCAGGAATGCTGTCTAAGCAATTATGTATGCTCCAAGTGGCTTAAACCTGCGTGAGGCTGCGGAGTCTTTGGCAGAGCGAGACCGGTGGTGAGAAGATGATTATGCCCAGCAGGTGGCTCGGTGCGGACTCGGCAGGTGGTATGCACTTCAATTGCGTGGGAGAGACATTGACATGCCCGCTCTGCCGGCGATGCTCAATGCACTACTTGAGCGGCGTATATGAAGCGGATTCGGCCACTGTGTCGCGAATACTGTGGTGCGATTTCAGGCAGTCGCTGGGATTCGCTCTGACCCAGCACGGTTGAAGCCCTGGAATAGGCAGACAGGCAAAGTTCTAATACTGAAATTATTCGACTTTCCGCTTGACTCTCTGAAATGTTTTCTGCGCATATCGTACTTGCTGGCGCACGTCACAGGCCAAAATATCCTGCCTCTAGCTTGGACTTCGTTGTGCTACACACCCACCGGACTCATTCACCTCTGTCCGACGAGAATTTCCCTAACAGCCAATTCTGTTCGATGACCATCGCCCACCTGCCGCTGATGCGACGGATTTGGTCTCAGAAATGGGCGAAGATTGGAGCCACTGCCGCATGGCTATCACCGGGCACAACCGATTGGATCTAGAACGATGGCCATTACACGCCACTTACTGCGACAGTGTAGTGCGTTGCCATCCTCGAAATGAATGACCAGAAAACAAATCTGTTCTGCTGTTGCTTTCGGTAATCGATCGATAAAAGTCTCTTATTGCAAGAGATTTTATCAGCTCTTCGAGAAGTGGTTATCCAGGAGCTCAAGCAGGCTTTGAGCGAGTTGCAGTCGATACGGTAACGTTGCGGCACACAAAAGAACATCAGTGGAGGCACGTTTTTCAACTTCACTGTCGATGCAGTGACTTCCCAGGCGTCGACAAATCCCTTGATTCAATGCCAAGGACGGAGTTACCTCCGCCAGGTCCCTGACTTTCGTAGCTCCAAATGTACAACTTGTCCTTCAACTGGCGATTGATCAATCTGAACTCTTCTTTGAGCAAAACACAACTCACAACAACTTGCAGAAATCCTCTCTGACCTAGTGCGTTAAAAGCAATACGAGTTGGAATGGATCCTTTCAGCTCAGACGGCGAGCTCGTCAACATCCACACAGCATTCGTCCAAGGTCAATACCAATCTGTGCTCGACGACTACGAGACGTTCTCCTTCTCGCCCGAAAACGAAGTCCCCGTCCAAGTCCTACAATATCGAGCGCAATGCGCATTAGGTCAATATACCGAAGTGATCAGCTCAATCAGCGATAAGGACGCCAAATCAACGCCCGATCTTGCAGCAGTCCGAACATACGCTTCCTACCTCTCTAAACCTACGGATGATGCAGTCGCAGAAGCAGAACGCCTTGCTGAGACCAGTGGCAACAATCTTACCGTAGAGCTTCTCTGTGGCACTATACTCGCCCGAGCTGGCAAGCCAGACAGCGCTCTCTCCCTCCTGTCGAAACATCAAGGGTCGCTCGATGCAGTGGCCCTCATAATCCAGATCCATCTCTCACAAAACCGCACCGACCTCGCACTGAAAGAAGCAAAATCCGCCCGATCCTTCGCACAAGACGCACTCCTCGTCAACCTCGCAGAATCCTGGATTGGAATGCGACAAGGTGGTGAGAACTACCAAAAGGCCTTCTACGTGTTTGAGGAATTGGCTCAGGCTCCCAGCTCGGCAAGTGCGAGCAGTCTCATAGCGCAGGCGGTGAGTGAACTTCACATGGGGCGGGTTGAGGAGGCGGAGACTGCGCTGAACCAGGCCTTGGAGTTGGAGCCGGGAAATAGTGCGGCGGTTGCGAACAAACTGGTGCTTGATACAATTTTGGGGAGGGACACGAGTGACTTGAGTACAAGACTGGCAACTGTGGAGAAGGATCACGAAATGATAGGGGACTTGGCGGCGAAGAGGGAGGCTTTCCAGGCTGCCATGGCGAAATACAATCCCAAATTTGAGCCTTGACTTGTTGGAGCGCTTGAGCGAAGGCGCTGAAAAGGACATGTGCAAGGAGACATTACGCAGTATGGCTAGATCATGGCATCACGATTGGAATGCAATGAAAGCGGAATTGAAAGGTAGAGAGCATGCGTAAACAATCAGGCAGGCTGAAGGCTGCCAGAAGATTGGGTCAGTGTCTCGTGGGTATCATGCCGAATGTCATATCATAGTCGTCAGAGTCTGGAGACTTGCTGCTTTTCACAGACCGGACTTGGCTTATAACCTTATCTTCGGTCCAACGAATACAACAAGAAAGCAAGCAACCCACAGCCCAAAGATCATGGCATACAGCTTCATCCTTCCCCACCATCCTTGCCCTTCGCTCATTTGCCGTAGAGTGCCCATTTTCTGAGCCGCGGCATCCATTCCTAGAGCATTCTTGTCGAGGCCTCCCTCGGCGTTCTTCAAGATGTCCTTCTCAGCTTCAAGACTCGCACCAAACTGCTGACTTGACTCCTTCAAAGCTTTTGCGAGCCCCAATAGTCCTGACGTGAGGGACTCCTGCTCTGTACGATTGTGCGACATTAGAGTCTCCGTGGCCTGAAGGGATCCATCGTTCGCTGGCTCCTTAGCACGATTTGAGAAGAGCTGTTCGCGGGCTGATGTTGATGCTGCAGAGCGATTATCACTTGCTTGTAGTTTTGATTGCCGCGCATTGCCTCCTCGCGAGCGTATCTCGCTTTGTATTTGTGAGGATATGGCTTGTTGAATGTGAGCTGCATCAATCTTTCCGCTGCGATTTTGCGCGTTATCAGGATCGGCGCCTCCTGTTTCCAGACCAGCTTCTGTGTCGTGCCTAGCTGGACCGTATGAACTTAGGATATCCCCTTGCTGCTCGCGGTCTATTTCGTCCTCGCTGTCTTCGTCTTCATCGTTCTCGGCGATAGCGTCCAGTTCTCGTAATCTGGTATTCAGCTTCTTTATCCAGTCTCGCTTCCGCTCGAGATCGGCTTTGGCTTGTTGCTGTTGTGCTTGTGATAAGCGTAGTGTAGCAGACTGCTTTTCTAGAGTGAGGAGTAGAGTCCGGGCGTGCTCGATGTTTGCGCCCACGCGATTCCGCTCGTACTGTGAGTTTTGAAGATGTGAGTCGGCATCTGGTGAGAAGAGCGTATGGTCCAGGCGTGCAAGCAGGCGCTGCAGTGCGAAGGGGGACGCTGTGTTCGCCATTTTGTGCTGCAGGTAGCCCAAGAGATATAGGCTTTCTCGACGTTCGCATGCAAGCTGTCAGGTCAACAGAAGTAGCTAACTTTCGGACCTGCACCCGACAAGTCCCTGAATCTGAGCCTGACCAGTCTCGCCTGCCGCCTGCCGCCTGCCGCCTGCCGCCTGCGCTTAATAATGATCCCAGGCAGGCACGAATCGCTACGAAACTCTCACCTCGAAATAGAAATGCATTGGTGGTGGCACAATATTACTCCTATCAGCAAAGCAAGCATTGACCGAGGGCTCCCATTCGCAGCGTTGTGATGAACAATATCCTCCTGCTCACGCGACCCCGGCCAACTGCAGGTCATCAGCGTACTGTACGTCCACTACCCAGACCATCCTGGCTACACAGAAATGAAGCATCTCTTCCAATTCATCATCACAGCTGGAAATGCGAGCACTTTTTGGCTAGAACGGGAACACACAGATCATGGCCTCACAGTGGGCATCATCATGGGCAAGGCTGCATGAGCCGCCTACCCAAAACCTGGATATTATACTGCTGCCAAAAATGTCATTGTGTGACATCTCTCTCATTACAACCCCTGCCGCCCATCATTTTATCATCTTATGACTGGCTGTCCCACGCTTTCCTGGACCTGGTTGTTGTTTCCTCGCTCCGCATCGATATGCTCGCCAAACCCTACTGCCACAGACCATGTGTCGCAATTCGTCCACTCGCTACACATACTCCATCCCGTTCTGCCGGTAGCACCACAACGAGGCAGGTCTGCAAGCCAACCTTGGAAGCCCATCGCCCCTGTAGGCCGCTGTAGCTCACACTTGGCAGGCGAAGGCTGCACAGGGGATCTCACTCGAAGACGTGAACTCCCGGCATGATTATTATGCTTTGTGGGAGAGGATCCTGGTAAGCCTAAAGGTAGAAGCTTGGCGATAGGTAGCCCTGGCAGGCTAGCACTTCCTGCTCCAGATCTACTGCTTCGGGACTGACACTTGCAACGAACTGGGAAGACCCACAGTCGTTCTCAGAGGAAGCATGAGACGCCTGAGATAACCGGTGGTTTTCTTCAACATCTGGATATGAGATCACAGTAACGCATCACTCTTACACGCTCACGGCGCCGCCGAGTCCCGACAGTGGACTTATCCAATGCCACCTATGGCTCGGTTCCTTGAGCGGCTGGAACGACAGTCGAAGGCCTATCGAGACTTCTTCCAAGGGCCGGAATATCTGTCAGACAAGGCGGCATCATTGCTTGGAGTCGACCCTCCTCCCTACGCGCCATCGCGAGCCTCGTCCAATCTATCTCAAGCCCTCAGATCGCCAAAGTTGTCAAGGTCCTCCATGGAAACACAACGAACTGCTCCTATTCAGCAAACGACTCACACGGAAAGTGGCTCTTCGACTCTGCGTCCTCCTTTGACACCACCGCCGCAGTATTGCAATCCATTCATCATCGATGACTTCCCTCTACTCGACGTTGAGAAGCCGCCTATTCCGCCGAACTCGTTGGTCTTGGTGACTGGTGCGAACGGGTGGCTCGGTAAGTCTCGCTATAAACGGGTGTCAGCATCAAAGCAAGTGTTCACGCTATTGTACTAGGCTCTCATGTCACCGACCAACTCCTTGCGCTAGGATACAGAGTGCGAGGGACAGTCCGGGACGAGAACAAATCGACATGGACGACCGAACTTTTCAGGAAGAAATATGGCCCTCATCGGTACCATGCAACCATAGTCGAAGACATGGCCCCAAAAGGCGCCTTCGACACAGCCGTACAGGGCTGCTCTGGTATAGTCCACTGCGCTTCAGTCACAAACGGCTCTCCGGATCCCACAGTCGTTATAATCCCCACGATTGCAGGAGCCCTGAACATTCTCGAATCAGCAAGGCGCGAACCGTCCGTCAAAAGATTTATATACACGAGCGCCACAGCGGCAGCCGTCAACAGTGGTCCTGGCGTCCGAGGAGATGTGAATAGTGACAGCTGGAATATGAGCTCCTTCTTCAGTGCCTGGAAACATCCACCTTACACACAGGAGCGAGCATGGGAAGTGTATGCTTCGAGTAAACTACAGACTGAGCAGGCAGTTTGGAGGTGGTATAGTGAGACGAGGCCTGATTTTGTTGTGAACACTGGTGCGTTGAGTGCAGTGACTCGTTGCGGCACAAGTTCCTGACGCTGACATTGTCTCATTGCAGTCCTCCCTTCGACGCTTTGGGGCAAAATGCTCGTGTGTCCTCAGTGCCAGGGATATCCCACTTCTATTGGATGGTTGAAGCAGATTTGGGTAAGAAAGCAACAGCTAAACTTCAATTTTTGAAACATCTGCTGACTTTCGAATTACCAATTTCCAGGAGGGGAATGCTGCTGATGTTGCAGCTTGGGTCCCACCTCGTAAGTCTGCCGATACTTTTTTTTATCGACGGCTGCTTAATTGACGCCTGCCCTACAGAATACTGCATCGATGTACAAGATGCAGCTCTCCTTCACGTTGCTGCTTTGACATTACCCGACGTCATGGACCAAAGAATCTTTGCTGCTTACACCCCTTGGAACGTCAACACGCTCTTGGATTTGTTGAGGATGCTTTATCCCAAGAAGAAAATCGAGAAGGGAGACTTGGGGGATCATGGTATGTTGCCAGAATAAAGAATCACATAGCTCCGCCTGGTTATGTGAAGCTGTGCTGACCAGAAGTCTATGACAGGAATTGACATGACGTTCTTTCGCGAGATGGGGGTTGCTGAAAGGCTTTTGAAACGTATGGGCAAAGAGGAAGGATTCCGCGATCTTGAGAGCAGTTTGGCAAGGTGTATTTCCAGTTGGTCATGAAGCGGTGGCAGAGTTGGGATGTTGTACAAGGCGTATGGACGCGAAGATGGGCCGCGTTCGAGCGATGAGAGCGGAGAGTGGCAATACCCAGTGGTAGGATGTATGAATTTGATGTATTTGTTCATAGCTGTAAAGTAGTAAACGTCTGACCAAGAACGATCGATCACAACGAGTTCAGCAAATGCCCCCATACCTCCAGACTGTTGTTCGTTTGCTTTATGCCAACCTCTCGCAAAGCATACCAAGCACTTACAGCAATACTATCGAGAACCCGAATTTCATTACCTGCTTGCTCCTGCTCCAGCTCCAGATCTGCCGCATACGCGGTTCCAGGATAATTCGTGCAAGCAATCAAGACAGCCTTCGTCTTGTCTGGGACAAGGGACTTCCTCACTACTGCTTTGATATCCTTCTCAGAACATCTCGCAATCTCCAAATTATTCCTTGGGGTCGGTTTCTGCGCCACAGCAGCATGTACATGGAAGCCTCCCTTTTCGAAGAACGCCTGCACCTTACTAGTAACTTCATCCGTGTATGGCACCGCAATACTGACGTCCCTAATGCCCAAAACTTCAAGAGCCTCGATTGTTGCAATCGTATTTGTACTACAGGGTACACCAACAGCTTTCGTCATATCCTCTGCCAGTCGTCTGTCGTCGGCCAGAGTTCCGCCGGTAAACATGCCGGAGGTTCCATTCCAGATGATGTGGTCGGCTCCCGCATCAGCCAGGAGTTGTGCTGCTGTGATGAGCTTCTCTGATGTGAATTGAGAAGTCGTTTCTGCGTCTGCGGACAATGTGAGGACTTGGAGACGGGTGAAGAGAGGGATTATGTTGGCTTGAAGGGATTGCAGGATGGATAGTGTGAGAGTTTCGACTGCTGTGTTGGAGGATGGGACTATGAATCCGACTCTCTTTGCTGTGGCGAGATGTGCTATTACTGGGGCAGGCATCTTGTCATTTGTGGTTGCTGGGTAGAATAGATGAGCTGAGCAGAAAGTGGAAGGGTGATGATTGCAGAGGATGTAGAGGTGGTTTTGAGAGACTTTGTGAGGCGGGTATGGCGGATTTGTAGCCGGTTGGCAATCGACAGTGTTCGGCGTCCAACTACCATACTATCTTGACTGAACTGAGATGGAAGCGATGCTCGAGAGGAGCAGTGTGGTATGCAAGAGGTGGATGGGTCACGTCATCAAGTCGTGCGGTCCCTGCATATTCTATCGTGTACTTGTGCACTTCAGAGCAGCGGCCCGCGATCGGAATTTGTCGCTGTCGCTGAGCGAGAAGACGAAAGGTAAGACTACTGGCAGACTGCAGAGTAGTGCTCTGTGGGAACACACCAACATTTCGCCAAGAACAGCATTTCCTACGCCGGCCTGTGATCGTACCCTTGCCTGGCCGACCCGACCTGCTGTGGTGCTGTGTGGCCGCGAAAAATATTTGTCGTCGAACGGCGATCGAAACGGCAGCCTCCATTTCGCCCGGCAACACTAGGTCTATGTCTCCATCGCTACACATCGTGCCGCCGCGACCTCACGACATCTCAAACGACTTGGCGACGACCAGCTACACCCGCCCTCAACCGCACCCTCACCCTCACCCTCACCCGAGCCGCCCGTCCAACGGAGGCTCGTCGTCGCCCGTCGCTCCTGCCTACAGCCCTATCACACCCAAAGCCCGCCCCGCCCTTCCCGTCAACGATAGCATCAACAACGACAACGTACCGCCTGCCTTTGTGCCGCCAGAGAATGGAGGCAACTTCACATTTACCGCACCGAACAGCCACGCCCAGACGCAGCAGCACCAGCAGCAGCAGATCCCGCCAAAGCCGGTGCAGGAGCAGCCGGTGAACGGCCCAGTACCAGCAACAGTGCCGCCTGCCGAGTACATTCCCCAACCACCAAATCTACCATTTTCGAGTAAAGATGCGACAGATGCAGTGGCGCTGAGGGCGGCAATCTCCACTCTGCAATTCCAGAAGCAGAAGGCACAGGATGACATACACATGCTCGAGAAAGTCAAGAAGCTGGCGCTCGACGACCCAGAGTATTTCAAAGAGGAGCTTGCAGCAGGTAGACTGAAAGAGCAGAGGCCGAAGATGGGAGACTTGCAGGCCATTCTGGATGCGCCAGAGGATGGAGACAGCGATGACGAGGTAGTGCTGGGTGCGCCGGCGGACGGCCAGTACACCACTCGTAATATTGCAGGCAAGTCGCAGTCACCAGAGATCCCAGACTCACAGCAGTCCTCCCGCCAACCACCGTCGACCTCTCGTGCTCAATCATTCCCACGGATACCTGGGCCACAAGACGTGGTGCGAATGCCGCACATAAACTGGAACAAGTACGGAATAGCAGGAGAGCCACTGGAGACCATGCACGAGCAGCAGAAGAAATGGCCTGGCAGCACACAAGGCTATGGCGTGAGCAGAGGTCGAGAATATGCTGTCGCAGCACCGTACAGTCCATTTCACGACCAGATAGACGCATATTCAAACAATGGCGAGCGGAAGGATTCTGGCCCAAGGCCAAGTGCCACTGGTACCATCAGTGAGCACATTATGGAAACGAGATCAAGAAATTGATGATTATGAAGCATGAAGCATGAGTGCAACGACCACGAACTTGCACGATATAGAGAAAGCGAATGGGAAAAGACTCACGGCTCCTAAATTTGTAGCTGTTCTCATTTCACCTGCGCCACAACAGCTCTTTTCAATTGCCCGAGAAGTGATTCCAGGACGTATGGATATAGCCCGATTGTAGTAAGCTCAGATTGCGAGCTATAGGGTCTACTGACACCAGACATTGGACTTCAGGCACAAGTATCAGACTTCAGCCATGTAGCCCGCACCTTTGCCTCCCCTTTCATGTGCAACATGCAGCTGATATGCGAGCTCATGCTGGCCCAGGACATCACCCGCATTTCATCAATACCTGACACCTGGCGACCAGCTTAGAGATGGCTTGCAGCTCGATTTCTCGCATTTTCGTCGCTTCCTGACCTCACCTTGTACGTCTTCCTCCCGGGGAAGCATGGAGGAACATGGGATGCGGGATGAGTTAGGAATTCTGAAGTCTGATTTAAGATGGAGGTCTCAGCTCGTACGAAGGCCAGGATATCTCATGATCTGGTGCACATTTGACTTCCTTGACCACCTTGGCTATTCTGTCGGACATCCATCCGCTTTGCCACGAGTTTTCCGAATCGGCACCTTCAGTCCTTTCGCGACCGTATCTGAAAGCTCGGCTAAGATGGCAGCGCTTTTCGGATCTTGTAGATGTCCAGACGAAAGACAAACATTCCAAGTTCTGCTGGCAGGCCTTCTCGCAGCCTTTGAAAAGTTCATGGGATTCTTTGAGATCAATCGCCAGATTTGCAGGGTTCGACATACCGTCAGCGCTAGGTTCGTTGTTCGGTAGAGGCAGTGAGTATACTTCACTATCCGCGCCGTTGTCCCAATTGCTCTTCTCCTTGGAAGGCATACCGTGTGGAAACATTGCGAGGTACATGTCTTCGTAGGTGAGAACGGCATCGGCCTTCTCCCGCTCGAATTGCCACAATTGATCTAACTGTTGTGAAGTCATGTGGTGGATGGTGATTATAGGCTGGCACAAAAGCTTGGGTTGAAAAGAGATGGCAGATGGATCGTCGGGACTCATGGCCAGAGATGCATTACTGACCCTGAGACGCAGTTCTTCATGCAGAGCGTCTGCAAGTACGAAGTCCCCAAACCACATTTTCTCGATTCGAGAGTCCCATCGGTTCGCAAGACCTTGCCTTTCGGAAAATGCACGGACAGTTGCGCCAGAAAGCACGATTCCAGCTCCGCCGTGAGCGAAATAGATCCGTGGATCATGCTCGTACATCAGCACAGGAGAGCCGATGTATACTCGTTGCGTCGAATCCAGAACTTTGAGCCATTGTAGGAACGTCGGCCAGCTCAAGTAGGTGTCTGCCTCTAGAAATAAGTACCATTTCCGCCCAGGCTGAAGCTGCCACGAACGCTCAACCATGTGAAGAAACTTGTATTTGTCAAGCGCCCAAGCTGCGCTCTTGCCTTGGGTTCTCCAGTCCTTGGTCGACATAGCTAGATCGCGAAGTCGAGGGATCTCATTCGTCTTGCCTTGAGCAAGGTACTCCCGCTGCATACGATAGATGTCGAAATCTGCATTGCTCTCAGCGACACTGGACGTGAAGTTGGACAGTACATCGTGGACATGTAAATCTCCTAAGCTGGCTTCGAGATCCGAGAAAATGAGTGGATCTTGGACACATCGAAGCGCAGTCGAAAGTTGTGTGGGCAATCTCTCGTGGATTGCTGTTGCTCCAGTCTTGACCACTACGGCGATGGTGTCGAGATTTGGGTGTTTGGCGCAGAAGTCGTCTGCATTGGCGGTGGACTTGCCGATTCGCTGGGTTCTGGCAATGCCATGAGAAATGCCATATTGGTAGGAGCGTCTTGCTTCGTTGATCTTATCGCTGCCGTCACTTGTCAAGATAGATAGCAGAGTGAAGATCAAGGCACTTGAGACGATGCATGCTGCGAGGAAAGTGCTGAGGGTTCTCGTTGATAGTCGTCTGGGGAGATGAAGGTTTGTAAGCATCATGGGATGTCAAGGGAACAGCTTGGCATTGAATGAGCGCTTGATGTCTCAACTGATGCTTCCATACAACGAAAAGCATTTCATGTTCTTGGATGGAAGGCAAGAGCGTTTCACCTATGGTGGGCCTGATTACGCGTGCATCGAAATTTGATTGACAGCATCACTCGAAGGATGATGTAACGGTCGAGTGGCTCGTAAGAGACTTGTCCAGAGAGCTACCAGCGGACCACTATAGTACCTACTGCATTGACGACTGAATATGGCGGTCAAGCGTCATCTGCTCACGAGATCATGTATGCAGAGGGAGAATTAATGTAGACTGAGAACATGCGGACCACTTTGGTTTCGATGTGAGATTTTGAAATCGTTCATGCATGTTTCATGTCTGAGCACTGGGTTCTTTTTGCTGAAGACCTTATGCCTCCACAGCTACAAAATATGTGCTGTACTGAAACCCTTGATGACCGCTTTCATACCAACTCCGGTTCCATGAACATGAAGACTTCGTAGCAGAAAATGCAGCAGATTCAACGCCCTTAGTACTCCGGCTGAGCACCATCCTCTGCCGGCGCACCTTCTTGCTCAGCTGCCTGCTGCTGTGCATAAGCCTGCTGAGCCTGCGCGGCCTTGGCACCGTAATCCTGAGATGATGGAGCAAGGATAGGCTGCTCCTCCTTTGGCTCGATGATGGTAACGGAGTCTGGAAGACCCTTGCCGCCAGCTTTCTCGCCGGATGGGTCGTTTGGTGATGAAGATGCGCGCATGATCTTGACCTTGATACCCAGCACACCTTGTCTCAGGAGGACGTGTCGAGTGGCGCTGTCGATGAAGTCCTTAGCTGGCTGACCAGAGTGGATCATGAAGCCATCAGTGAACTTCATAGACTTGGCACGGGCAGCACGCAGCTTGCCGGACACGACAACCTCGCAACCCTTGGCGCCGGACTCCATGATGAACCGGAGCACACCGTAGCATGCACGTCGAACAGCGAGACCGTTGAGAAGCTTGTAGCGGAGGGACTCGCACTGGGCGACAGCGGAGAGACCACGGGATTGGACCTTGGCGGCGTAGAGGGAGACGCTGTCCGGTGGGAACTTGAATCGGTGGGTGATGAGGGAGGTGAGCTGAAAAGAGTCAATTAGGGCTCACAGAGCAAGTTGGTTATCGTAGCCTTACCTCGCGGATTCGGCGACCCTGCTCACCAAGAACCTCTTGGGTGTGTGTGGCACGGATGATGATGTCGGTCACGGTTGGGGTGACGCGGACCTCGACGCCAGAGTAACCCTCCTCAGCAAGCTCACGCTGGAAGAACTCGTTGAGCTCGGCGTAGAAAACACCGTCAGCGACGAACTTTCTGCGCTTGGAGATGTTGACGCCGCTCATGGCTTGGGCGGGCTGAGAGGACTGCATCTTGGCGATCTGCTCTAGACTGTAGCGTTCCAATTAGCAGTGTCCCTTGGAAGTATGCGTCTTGAATGCTGCCGCTGCTGCCCTCTCTTTCCACTGATTGTGCGTTGTGTGTATGTGGCTCTCCCTTCCTAGTGTCCCCAAGCTCATTCGTTCTCAACCTCTTGCTTGCCAAACGCCAGATAAATCAAGATCGTAGTCAGTGATGGAATTGAGCGTTCAGCACCAGTCACTTCTGTCCATCGGCCCATCTCTTCGCGACTCTTCCAAGCTTTGTTCTGTGCATGGCTTTACCACCGTCCACATAACAATCCATGTTGTCCCACCAATGCCAACTCCTCCGGTACAGCAGCAGCAGCGGCGGAGTCGATAGCATGAAGCGCTTACCTTGTAGTAAAGTCGTTGGTTAGTAGGGCAAAGCAGTCGGCGCAAGGTCGTGATCGTGGTGATGCGGTCCAAGCCTACTTTGAAGTTCAGAACGTCGAGCAAGCCCGCATTTCCCTCTGCGTGTGTCTTGGCATGCCGAAGAATCTCCGCAACTCTTAGTCATCACGCTCCGCTCCCATCTCTCGAACTCACTTGCTTCCCTTTCTCATCAGAAGGCTGCACCTCAAGACAATAATTCTCGTGAAGACTTTCGGGTCCTCATCAGATCGCCTGGTGCATGCGAGGAAGGAGATGTGATAGTCTCCAGAATTTTGCAGACCGCAGTAGGAGGAAGCATTCGCACATTGGACTCCTTTACGACCTCTTGGTAGCAGTGTCCTCCAAGGCTTTGCTGGTTCAATTGCAATCACACGTCAACGAAGACAGCCTGATTGATAAGCTCATACTTTGATCTGGAAGAAATTTTCATGACTGATGAATAGATGTGGGTGGGCTTCCCCACTTGAGGCCTCGACAACTGCCTGATCAACTGCCGAGCATATGCGACTGATATGTGAGAGCAGTTTACCCTCACCTCGCAGTACTGAATTGATCTTCAGATTTCAGCATGGAGTCCTTCGAGTACAATGCTAATCCCGGCAGGGTTGTCTTTGGATCTGGCAGCATCAAGAAACTCCCGGCTGAAATTAGAAGGCTTAATTTGTCAAGGCCACTACTATTGTCAACTCCACAGCAGAAAGATCAAGTGGCCCAACTCGAACCAGTTCTGAGAAATGCATCAATCGCACCCGTGGGCCTCTTCTCAAATGCTACTATGCATACGCCAGTGGACGTGACGGAAACTGCGTTGGCAATTGCAAAAGAGAGTAGCGCAGATTGCGTTGTAAGCTTTGGCGGTGGAAGTACAACTGGACTTGGTAAAGCCATTTCCGTCCGTACTGGGATCCCTCATATCAGCATACCAACGACTTATGCTGGCTCCGAGATGACACCCATCCTTGGAGAAACCGCTGAAGGCAGAAAGACAACCAGATCAGATCCGAAGATCCTTCCAGCTACGGTGATCTATGATGTTGATTTCACTATGACACTGCCTGCAGCTTTGAGTGCTACAAGTGGTGTAAACGCTATTGCGCATGCAGGTAGGCTTCAAATAAAAACGTGGCTATGCAACGTTGGTGGCAAGGCTGAATATCGAACAGTTGAGGCACTTTATGCCCGTAACACCAATCCTGTGATCAATCTCATGGCTGTAGAAGGAACAAAGGCCCTGGCCAGATCACTTCCTATGATTGTGGAGAGCCCTCACGATGTCGCGGCACGATTGGACGCACAATATGGCGCCTGGCTCTGCGGCACATGCTTGGGTAGCGTTGGAATGGCTCTTCATCACAAATTATGCCACACCCTAGGCGGTTCCTTCAATCTACCTCACGCCGAGACTCATACCATTGTGCTTCCACATGCCTTGGCGTATAACTCGCCTAATATCCCAGAAGTGATGCGGAAACTGGCGGATGTCCTTCCTGAGTCGAACGGCGATGCGATTGCAGGGCTGAATGTCTTGCTTTCCAAACTCAAGGTCAAGCGAGGATTGAAAGATTTCGGCATGATGGAAGAAGACATTGCCAAGGCAGTCGATATTGCAGTCAGCAACCCTTATTGGAATCCAAGAGCTATCGAGAAAGAGCCACTGAGAGAGACGATCAGAAGATGCTGGGCTGGAGAGGACGCCAGAGCAGACCTATAGTACTAACTGACGAGGTATTTCTTTATCGATGCTGCCGCCACTTAAGCTACATATGTCCTTGGCTCCATTCTACAAGCCTAGAGCTTCGTTCAATCCCTTAACGTCCCAATAAAACGGCCTGATCTCCGTGATCACACCCTTTTCTCGATCGACACTGATCTTCTGTAGAAGTGGATTGACCAAATCCTTTCCCGTCTTTCTGACTCTGAGCTTCAGCGTACTCGCAACAATGACTGCATCGCTGCCGGCTTGCTCGAACACCTGAGGATCTGTGACCTCTAGCTTGTCGAAGTAGGATGCCATTCTCTGGCTCCAGTCCTGAAACCCGGCATGGCCTTCAAAGACACCTCCGTACGGAAGATCTGGAGATTGGTACAGTTTGAGATTTGGTGAAAGTGTCTTGCCCATTCCATTGGCGAAGTCTCGATTCTCTGGTGATGCGGCCATATATATTGTTTCGGCATCGTAGAACTGGAGTTGGTCAACATGTCTTTGGCTTTCCGTCTTGTTTTTCGATCCCTACCTTTTGCAAGATCTCAGCCGGAGTCATCTCTATTTGAGGCATCGTCTTTGGTCTAGTCAATGCAGATCTGATAGTGCAACTTCTGATGATGGATCTTCAACATCAGTCCATGCTCAGCATCAACCCATTTTAAGCATCGATCCAGCGAAGCCCGCAATATATCAGCCCTAGGCTTGTCACTCGTCATTCTGCTTCCGGTTGATAATCAGATCATTACTCAGCACTTTGTTCGCGAGAACACAGCATGGCTCAGTCTCATGAGCGGAATGATCTCCGGGTTGTTCGAGACTGTACGGCCCGTGCGGGCATCCTCTGAACACTGAGGAGGATCAGGTCGAGCAGTACCTGCGTGCTGCTTTCTACTGACTGATTCATCATCTCTTCTGACATTTGCTCAGCTGTAAGCATTCATGCTGGTCTATCTTCCAAAGAAATGCTAATCGTCGCTCTGTCATCGGACGAATACTATGCCGAGCCTGTACATGCAGTCCAAAAGCTATGGTTGTCCGCATTGCTTCATGAATGTCGTTGACCTTGAGGGTTCAGGCGAGCACATAGGCGCACAATATACCGATCGTACCCAAGATTTTTACAACCTATTTTCGCAGCCTTCTACCGCACAGACAATCAAATGGTAGCATCTTTTGACCTTTCCGAAGCAATGCTAAGCATCCAAAAGAGTCGTGCAGCCTTGGCATCAGCTGGAAGTGCCCAAAATGTCCCCACACAGCACAAAAAGTCAAAAGTACCACGACGGGACAAAAATGAAGCTCTACTGAATCCGCAGAGTACTTTTGAACATGCCGTGGATCGAACACGGGGCCTTTTCGGAGAACAGAATACAGTTGTCTGTAAACGAAACGTGATAACTTGCAGTTAAGGTCAGCTGCCGAACTTCGAGGGACGAAGGACACATTACGTACCCACTACACCACACGTCCCTGCGTAGATATGATCACGATCGAAGCATGCAAAATCATATACAGTACAATCTGTACAATGAGGATCAGCGCCGAAAAAGATGTGAGATTGGAGTTCGGACTCCTGATCACATTGGACGTTTTGTCCCCATCCAGACCTCGAATTCTGCATAGTCGGCATTTCGCACATAGTCATCACCTGATAGTATCGATATCGATCGTGAACCAGCACGAAATGTTTTCTGGTGGAAAGCACAAGAGCATAAGCGAAATGATAAGTGGAGCGCATGACAGAAGATAGCCATGCAGAAGCATAACATGTTGGTAACATGAAGCACGATGTCAATTGTCCAAGGTCAGGACTGAGATGTGCAAGGTCATGTCATGCAGAGAGACCTCGCAGGCTTGCAATCGCTCTGCCATCGACATACTCTTCTCACATGACTGTCACAAACTTTTCCAACATGGATCCCAAAATGAACGCCATTCTTGCCGTAGGCCTTGCATTCCCTGACCAAATCCTTAAGCCATATCGCCTTGCTGTGCGGGTCCGACGTAGACCTCGTAGATCTGACCGAGGCACATGTCGAAACCTTCTTGGTTGCCTTCATCTGCCATTTGCTGCAAGTTGCTCAGCATTCGACGCATCGCTGGGTCGTGCTGCAATTGATTTGCAAGGGCTTCCGATTTGAGAATAGTTCCGTACAATCCACTCACGGCTTGATTGAGCTCTTCGCTGTCAGCACCAGGAACTAAGCTTGGCTCAAATTCCTCTGGTACACCTGTACGTGGTTCCTGATCGCCTCCAAGATTGCCTTCAGCAGTCTCTGGAGCTTCGGAGTCTCCGTGGCCACCGATGGGAGTGCTGACTTGGCCAGCAGAAGGTGTCTTGCTGTCCTCGTCCACATCGGCTTGATTGAATTGCGCTCCTGCGAACTCGTCGGTGACTGGAAGCTCTTTGATGGAGGGCTTGACACTTGGGGTGGCGGGTGGCACTGTGCCGGGATTATAGATGGCGGTGTCTGTGATCTTGGCTGAACACAAGATATTGTCGAGCTCATCGTAGTAGTCTTCGGCCATGTCCTGCTTTGCTGCGTTGACGTACCAAGACTCAATCAACATGTTGTTAGCCTTGTCATTATCGATGCGCTCCTGTACGTCCGTGGCGTTGTCAGAGACCCAGCCACTAGACATACCTGAGCCATGTACTCTGTGTGCCACGCTGAGTCTCAATGGCGAATGCTTGAAAAGGACCAAGGGCAGGCTGAGGCGGTCGCCATATCTCTTGAGGTCCTGAAGTGCAGGATTCGTTGTGTGAGAGCAGCAGTACTGAAACAGTATCTCTCGATACAGCGTCTGCTCAGTATCCATGGTCTGCCACTTCTTGTTACACTTTCCACGCATTCTCTGGAGACGCTCCTTGCAGAATGCGAAGACGCCATTGCGATCAAAGTTCTCCGGCGTAGAATATTCTGCGCCAATCCACTTCGTGCCGTCGTTAAGCTCGTACAAGGTGACACCGAAGTACGTCTCTATAGACTTCGCGCACTTCTGTGCCTTCTGCCAGCTACTGTTATCCCAGAGGTTGACACCGTTGGCTTGGTAGGCTCTTGGAGGTCTCTGAACATACTGTACAGCGTCTTGCTCCCAAGGTCCAGATTCTCCAGGAGTGACCCGGCCAGCAATCGATTCTGCAATGATCTTCTGGTACTTTGCTTCATCACTACCTTTACCAGCATTGATGTACGGGCGCTTGCAGTTGACAAGGGCCATAGCTGAAGTTGCGTTGATCAGATTCTTTCGAACTTCCTCAGAAGTCTGTATAGACTCAGGCAAGCGCTTGAATTCGCCAATCTCGTGGAGAACTCCAGGATTGAATGATCCCTTCGCGTATTGGCAGCCGTATGAGGTGATAGCATTGTTGTCTCCGGAGTGCTTAATACCAAAGTTGCTTGGAGATCCTTGGCGACGGATCGTGTCGATCGTAATGGCGTAAGGTATCCGTGGCTTTGTCGCCCCCTCTGCGAGGTGGTTGCAAGCCACCTTATAATTTAGCCAAAATCGACACTTTACATTATAATGCCGCACTACACCGTTAGAATGGTGCTAAAGTGAGCAAACAAGACCTATAGAATATATTAAAGACCTCTATATATAATATAGACTATTAGGTAGTATTATAGGTTTACTATATTGCTATATTTCCTCGCTATTGCTAGGCAATAGCCCTCTAGAGGCTAGCTTAGCAGGCGACTATAGCGAAGAAGGTAGCAACGGCGGTAACGATCTAATAGGTAACTCGTGCCTATTAGATAGACTACGTAGTAGTATAGCAGGCTATATATACTAATTAACAGGTATTAGCTTATTACCGTTACTGTCGCTACTACTAAAATCGCTGCTATATATTATGCTATTGTCTCTTCTAAACTGCTTTATTAAGCGCTCCTTAGCCGCCTTCCTTATAGCAACTATAGCTTGTTACTGCCTGCGGGCCTCTTCTTTATAAGTCTATATAATAAGCTTATATAAGGGTTTAAGTAGACCTTCTTCTTTAGTATCCGGATTAATATTACTACTAGGCTTACTACCGCAGGTAAGCACGTTGTAGATAGAAACGATAGTCTTCTTAGCTCTAGCAATCTTAATATATATACGTGTAATAGGGAAGACTTTAAGCGCTTCTAATAATAGCTTAGTAGGCTTATAAGTCTTTACTAATTAACTAACAGTCGACTATAGGTTATAGCCTATCTTACGCAATAGTTAGACCTTAACCTTTGTGTTTGTACGGCCCTTAACGCTTATATTAATAGCCTTGCGATAGCGCTTCTTATAGTTAGTCTATTGTATCCTTAATCGCCTAGCCTTATCTCTTGCTTAGTTTAGTGCCGCCTCTTAGTCGTTAAACCTCCGCTTCTTAATAGCCCTCCTTGCTTGTCTAGTATATAATAGTCTACTAGTAACAATAGGCCTCGAAGACGCTTCTTCTCGTCGTTTACGTACCCGAGTTGCTGCCTCGGTTTAAGAGAGGTTAAAGGTTGCTTAGGCGGCTAATTAAGAGTTGACTTTAGTATAGATAAATAGCCGCCTTGCAATACTAGCTAATAGTAACGATAGGAGGCCTTCGAGCCTCTATTAGAGGAAGTCGGTATGCCTTATAGTAGTCTATATACTTATTAATCTAGTCCGACTCTCTATTGCCGGCCTAGGCACCTCTAAGTTATATAGGCGCTAGGGAATTGTTAGTAAATAGTTATCCCCGCGGAGGTATTCTAGGCTTCTAGCCGAGTCTATAACTCGGTCGGAATAGTCGATAGTAAGCGCGTCTAATCGTTCGTATTATTGCTAGTATTGTATGCTGTCTCTAGCGTTGTATTCTAGCCGAAGGAACGTTATAGCGCGCTCCGGATCGTATAGAAAGAGGCCTATCTTACGGAAAGAGGATTTAATGCTACTCGGTTTAAATATATTAGCTCGAATAGAGTCGATTGCGGCTATAAACTCGGTTATACTAAACTAAACACAACTAGTATATGTAGCGTCTATTACAGCCTGTTTGTAATAGTATTTAAATAGCTAGAATAGGACTATATCCAGCGGTTAAAAGAAATGTAATATATAAGCTAGTAGGCCGAAGATTACTATCTTATAAGACTATGCAAATTCTAGGAACTCTTAGAAGTCGTAAGAGCCGTAATTGTCGTATATTAGTATACGCTACTAGTCCTCGTTAGCTATATATCGTTTCGAGTATTTATAGAAGTGCTAGATATAGTAGTAGGCCGAGTTGTCGTTTATATAACTACTTTCTATTACGTCTACTAGCGTAGACGCGGACAGGTTAGTAAACTACCGTTCTTAGAGCACCTTGCTAGTAGCAATTAGTATAGGTAGAATAGAGTTACCGGCGGCATTAACTAATTTAACAGAGGTTATATACTTCCGGTTAGTCTTAGAAGCGCTCTAAGAGCGACGTTTCGGGTCTATTATAACGACGTATTCCTTGCCTCTAATACTAATCCGGAAACTAGTCTTATCGAAGTTCTATATTAGCCGTAGATTAGCAATCTTATAGTATGCTATTGTCTCTCGTAGCCGTATATACTATCGTCTTATCCGCTTAGGTTTATAGGCCTCCTTCCGTACTATTTTAATCGGCTTTTATAGTACTTAGTAAAGCCCGTATTCCTTTATAAACCTCTTTGTCTAGCGCCTATCTACCGTTAGTAGATTAAGTAGATCTAGCGCGTTACGAAGAAGGATATTATTAGCAGTAACGTATAGTAGTCGTATAGGAATATCTAGGCCTATTAGCTCGCGCCTATAGCAGTATTTAAGGAGGGCTATTTGCTAAGTAGGCTTTATCTTTGTGTTTAGTAGCTGTCGCTTAGTAAGGGCACTACGACTACTACGACGACCTATAACCTTTAGATACTAGAAGCGAAGCTTCTAATAGTTAACGTACTCGTCGGTAGACTATTGCTTAATGTTAGGTACGTAATCGTCGTAGTCGTAGTAGAAGGATAGTATCCTATCCAAAACGGCCTGAATACGGTTTTCTTCGTATACGTAGGGCGTCAATTTCGCGATAGGGCGGCGTATACGCGCACTAGCGGTTTTACGGGCACGAGGCATTGTCAGAAATTCAATAAGTACGTGTAGAAGCGGTTGGGAAATTAATATGGTGGATCTAATGGTATAGTGTTAGTATTATAATGTAAAGTGTCGATTTTGGCTAAATTATAAGGTGGCTTGCAACCACCTCGCAGAGGGGGCGACAAAGCCACGGATATCACGCGACGCCGAGATGGGTTGCTGCCGATAAGAGGACGCTCTTCTCCAATATCGTGAGACAGACCAGTCCACTCGTCGACGTATGTGGTAGTGTTGGCAGAAGTCAAGTTCTTCAACTCACCTTGTCCTGGCAGTCGTGACTTAACCTTCTCCCAAGCACCGTTGAAGACAGCTTTGTATTTCTGATCCTTCGGATTGAAGCCAAGGAGAGCACATTCGCGCTGAAAGTTGATCCAAAGAGACTGGTGACAGAGGAATGCTGCGATGGACTCGCCCGCTCGGCGCTCACCACGAAAGTTGGCTTGGTCGCGCGCGCGGCACTTCTGACACACAAGTCGACCCGTGCTATCGAAAGATCGATTCTTGCAGAGTGTCGGATCAGTACAGCCTTCGCAGGGGTGCAATTCAGAGCTAGTCATCTCCTCACTACAATCGCAAAGAGATGAAGGCGCAACGCCGTCGGCAATTTCCATGTTAACGACGTCGGCTGACTTGGCAGCCTCGATCCACGAGAAACGGATGTCATCTCCGCCGCAGAATGTTTGAACGATAGTCGCCATTACAGGTGTTGCCCGGCTTGCGTTGAGAGAGTGGATATATAGTGCTAGCCCACTACGAGTAAGACCAAGGTCGCTCGCGATCTTCTTTGTTGGCGACACAAGTGTTAGGGACTTGTCTTTGCGCTGCGACATCGTCCGGCATTTGATGGCTGCGAGATATCCACCTCACTGTCCTTGCAATCAAGATCGCCTCCACCGGCACCAGTAGCTTGCTGCTCGAGGTTGTCAACACCGTCAGCCACATTGGCGGACGAGATGCTATTCTGGTGTAGGACGCCGTAAAGCTTGCCAATCAGATCATCGTGGCGGCGCTTCTGCTCGTTACTGGAAAGCACAACATGGACGAGCTTGGAGATTCTCTCGACGACGTCGGTCTTCAGCTGCTGGAACTCGCGGTAGTCTGATTTGGCGCCAGTCTCCTCTGGCTGACGTTCAAGTCGAATTCTCTGATGCAACAGATGCTTCTTTTCGAACAGAAAGTATTGGCGGCCAGTGTTGCGCGAGGCCTTGCGGCGATAGAGCTCAGCGCGATCGCTCAATGTCCATGGTGCCCAGTTGTAGCCACGAGCATACGCTTTCTGGTATCGAAAGCGCTCGTTGCGCTCTCGATTCTTGTTTTGGATATGAGGTTTTCGAAAGCAGAAGTGTTGATCTGCAAGCACACGAGGTTGGCGAACTACTTTTGCACTCTCGCGTTTTCCTTGGGAATACTGATTGCCATGTGCAGGACAAGAACGAAGAAGCTATCGACACCGCCCGCATCCTTCTGCAGTATCCCGAGCTTCCCCTACTCCTACGCGCTAGAGCTTGCATGGTATTGGGCTGCTCTGACGAGCCAGACTTCCTCGACATGGCTAAGGAAGCCGTACGTGTCGCTGAACTCGGCATGAGTCGCTGCGCTACGGACGTTGGAGATGTCGAAAAACAGCTAGTCGTCGACTGTCACACAGTTCTTCGGGAAGCCCAGGCTGCGTTCGATGACTTGGAACCGCAAGATCAAGCAGAGGTCGTGTGGGAGGCAGACGACAATGAGACAATCGAACCACCAGCCACGGACAATGCAAGCGGCGGTAAGGAGGTAAAGGAAGTCCAGTCGGATAAGGGGGAGAAGGAGGTGAAGGTGAAGAAGTCTCGCAGACTCCACACTGATGAGAACAAGGTCATCAGCGCTCCGTCGGAACCTCCGGCACTCGAACGCAAGCAGCAGCGCTTCGCAGATCCGCAGAAGGAGACAGACGAGCCAGACGAGCCAGAGAATGGCGGAGACGATGCCATGGAGATGTGAGTGCTGGAGGAAATGAATGGCTGTGCACAACGACGAGCAGTGCTTGGAGATGTTACGTTATACATGAGCGCAAGCATCGGAGAGAGTACATAATTTGAACTCCAAATCCCGGCTAGCTGCGCTGGAAACAGACACAACATACTTCTTATCACTGATGATCTTTTGCAATGCATTCGCCGCCATTAATGATAGAGACGAATACAGACGATACCACAGCCTCAACGTTGCCCACTTACAGGACGCTTACAGTTACAATGTATTGGTCTGCGCGTTTACCGCTGAAGTCTTCTTTTTTTTGCCTCGGATCTGTTGCAATGACATGGTTACATTTTGGTAGTTTGACTGTATATGCAGACCTTGGTCTTGAACCAAAAATCGGGGCCACCTGACCTTGTTTTTTGCCGCTGTGACGATCAGATCCTTTCAAGATCTTACTCAGGATCGGCTGCACGAAGTATGGGCACAGTTTACATGTAGTTTGAGGTACTGACAAGATAAGGTTGTTGCAGAGATTAAGAGAGTTTTGTGAAAGCGTGCTTTGGAAGATTCTGAATTCAGGTCGAACTACGTACGCACAGTAGGATAATCTACTGCTTCTGCGAGATCATCATCTCTTCATTCTCGGCAATTTTCGGAGGAATGTTCGTGGTTCCGTTGATCGAGTTTGCTCGAACAACATTGACAGTTCCCTGCATATTGAGATGGTAGTCGGTATTGTCCTCGTTCTCACTCAAGTGATACTCCTCCTTGTCGATGTGTCGGAAGAGGAGGTAGAAGACGACGCTCAAGACACCACCAGTAATGGCGGGTCCACCAAAGTCCCAGGTAAGGTACGGATCAGTGACAATGGAAGAGCAAGCAAGGCCAATCGCATAAGCAACACCGGTGTTGAAGAGGTTCAGGGCTGAGACAAGACCTCTCATGTTGACTGGAGCTCGGGAGTATGCAATACCGTATGCTGGAACATTGACGAAAATCTCAGAAATACCTCCGAGACCGTATGGAATGGCCATCCACCAGACGGTGATGGGTGCAACGCCAGTGCCAATGGTACAGTCGCTTGAGCCGTATTTTCCGCAAGGTGACTGCTGGTAGGCGTAGTAGTTGAGAACAGCGTAACCCGCACCACCGACTGCAGACATGAAGAGACCAGTAGTGATACGAGCTACTGGACCGTAATGGATCTTAGCCTTTCGGAGCAGCGGATACAATCCGTAGTTGAAGATGGGAACCGTACAGATGATGGACAAGCTGTTGAAGTTTTGGATGACATCGTTTGGCACACCGTTGGTAGTCAGCATCGTCGAGAGGTACCCGGCAGCACTTCCGAGACCATTGTCGTTGATGTACTGGATGGGGAAGAAGCAGAAGATCCCAGTAGCCTGGAATGTACGCCTGACGTCATCGACGAATTGATCGTTCCACGAAGTCTTGATGCTGAGACCAGCAGCAGCGATGTTGGATGGCTTGGCAAGATTCCAGAACCCGTGGCGCCCGATTCTCTTAATGCCACCTCGTCGGAAGCAAACACCGAGAACCTTGAAGACATTGCCGAGATCGCTTCCAGCCGGAGGGTGAAGGATGAGGCGCTTTCTGAGGAACCACAGCAGGAATGGCAGTGGGAGGTACAACAGCATTGGGAGCAAGAAAGCAAGCCAGAATCCAACGTACTTCTCGGCGTAGGTAGTGGCCACGCCCATAAAACCGCCAATGTTGATGAGCAGGTAGAACCAAAGCATGACACGTTCCGTTGTAGCTTCTGGATCTTCGATCACTCGCTCGCCCTTCTTGGTTGTCACGACACGAGGAACTCTGTGGGTCATTTGGTCAAGAAGCAGCGGGGAAACGCAAGGCTTGAACATGGCTGGCGTATGTGTTAGCATTCCGTCTGTTCTAGAAATCCATACGTATCGACTTACCGGCACCGATGGCAAGGATGTAGAGCGAGATGAGATATGGGATCTTGGCACTGCCGTCTGCCAGAAGTGGCTTCGCACCAGAGATGCACATCAGAAGGTGTGCAACACCAAAGACACCAACACCGTAGCAGATGAGCTTAAAGCGACCCGTCTTGGTGTCGGCGATCCATCCGAAGAGGACTGGAAGCACATACACCATCATAGAGAAGGACTGCGAAACGGCATTGGCCTTGACCGTTCCGAGACCAAGAGCACCGGCAGTCTCCTGGGTACCGCGGGGAGGTGCACCATAGCCGTTGCCATTGAGCGGTAGGGGACGGTTGACAAAGTTGGAGATGAGCTGTTGCACACCGTAGTAAGAGGCACGCTCTGCGAATTCGACGAAGCAAATGACATATGCGACGATCGGTAGCTTGCCCGCTACGCGACGAAGCGTCTTCAATTCTTCTTCAGTAGGCTTGCCCTCGTAGTCGCCGGCTGCGAGCATAGAGTCGTGGTACATATTTGGCAGCTCAAGTCCGTCCTTCTCGTCCGAGGAGGAGTTGCGGTCGGACACATTGTGGTTTCCCGTCTTGGAATCTGAAAGTACATGTCAGGTATAGAAGCTTGGCAGTGCAAAGGACGAAATATACCCATTGTTGGCGGATTGCCCGAGTAACCTGGTTTGAGAAGACGAGGATAACTGAGTCTTTTCCTGGAGCACGCGACTGTCCCAGGGTATTAAAGCAGTTCTTGTGGTCGCCGATCCTAGACAGCGTTACATCTCGGGATTCCGTCCAGAACGCTTCCATGCAGAAGATGCCGTACTCTGAGATGGCGAAATTGCTAAAAGCGTGTAGCGTCCGGGTGTTCACGGCGTGCAATTGGTGTGTCCACGGTTGCCGACGATGCCACGAGTGGTCAGACTTTGGACTTGGCTTCAGCGGCCCTGCTGCGCTGCGCCGCGCCGCTTCACGACTCACGAGTCTTATCGGCTCCGATGCGCCATGTGGCAAGTCAAGCATCTGCACAAGGCACCCTTGATGAGCATGGCACTCCGTGGCACTCGATGCCTTGGTCATTCGACGTGTTCATCCTGTCGCGTCTCGACTGTCGACTGGAGAGATTGCGTGCAATTGGATACGAAGCAGCTGGCACAATGTCGAACCGAAGCGTCAAGCACCTATGATGGCACCAGATGGCAGTGGCACTCTCCGGTGGCCAACTGCTTTGGAGGCTCTCGCCAATAGAACTACCTGACTAGTTGATGACTGGGGGCTTCTGGACGGAAGCTTAGCGTTTCTTGTTGGAGTGAAGCGTGCCCTATCAAGCCTAGAGATAACTCACCGACATACAGTAGCGGGTGCCGGGGTGCTAGTTCTAACCGGAGGGGGACAGCCGCCGAGCACGAAATCTGTGCCTCATCTACAGGGACAGGTACTCTACATTATGGAGCCGACATGCGATGAGGTTCGCGTCCTATCAGCTGCAAGGATCAAACAGCGATAACACCTCGGTCCCTCCGACCCGGCTTGTACCAGCAGATCTCCAAGTGGCGACAACAAGATAGCGACAGATCAATGAAACGAAGTTGAGGGGCACACGCGTGCGAGCAACAAGCTGATCGAGTCTAGTCGTAGGTGCAGCTCTTGAAGTGGACGCGTGATCTGCACATTGCGCGTGCTGCAACATTGAGTACTTCGCTATTGAACCGGGAGATTTGGAACTCGCCGTGATCAGGATGCTGCAAGCAATTGCTTATCGCGAGCTGGCACATTCTAGGCACACTCTCGCGTCCCCGAGCACTGCACAAGTGTCGCAGACTTTCCTGTTGCAACACTTGCATCTACACTCCTCTTCCATTAGGACCTCGTCCAGCTCCATAGCGTCACTGTGCCGAAGCGCTCCCTCACAGTCTTCGCATCGAGCATCCGAGCCCGCGCAAGCTTCATCTTGCGAGTCTACAATCATAGCAGTATGTATCGGTGCTTGTGGTATGCGCCAGAACGAGTGTAAGGTGCTTCTTTGCGGCTGTGCACTCCGCTGCACTTCTCTGTGCTGCCATGATACAGGCGCAGCATTGGGATGCTGCTTCTGTGCCTCTTTGAGTCGATGTATGGTGCTCGCTGCAACGCGACAAACATCAGCAAGTGTGCTCATATCTATGATAGATCCAATCCAGCATGACGCACCATAGACTTCTTGTTCGTCTGGTCTGTTGTCTCTATGTCGTTTTCGTGTGCGGCTGTTGAGCTGTTGGCTTGTGGGCTGGTCGTCGTATGTCGGCCATGACCACGTCGGCTTGTCGAACAGCGGTGCGACGGGCTTGGTCTGATGATAGAAGAACGGTAGTGGGCTCGATTTTGTCGTGGCATTACTGGTGTCTGAGGCGGCTGGTGAGAAGGCGGGCGACGATCGCTTGCGCTTGAGGGCCATAGCGGATGCTGTGGTAGGGACTTGGATCTCGCAAAAGGTAGCAGTACTGTGCACGAATGGTGATGGCAGTTAATGTTGATTGATGCAAATGGTGCAGTGGATTGCAAACATCTCAGACGCGTCCCCGTATTCTAGCGCGCGATAGTTCTACGCGATCTCAAACCCCTGCCGGCGTCATCTTGGTGGCTGGCACGCTCCATCTTCATGTAACTGCTATCCAACACCTGCCTTCACCCGAGCACGCCAACAAACAGCATATCATTGCCGAAATACTAGCATGTCGAGTGATCAGATCATCAGAGATGCATCCCACGCCGGATCCTGGTACTCAGACTCAAAGTCACAGCTAAACTCGCAGCTGGATGGCTGGCTGGCAGCAGTCGACACTCCCGTCTCATGCATCGGGCCTCAGAGCAGCCAAGAGGTGTTTCCGGATGTGCCTGTCCCAAGTGCTAGGGTTATAATTGCGCCGTATGTTCCCACATCGGCGCAGATGGAGCATGTTCAAGACGGCTAAAACTCATCCGCAGACACGCTGGCTACTCCTACTCTGGGCCAGCGGCGGCATGGGCATATAAGTCTTGGGACGTCTCCAAAGCGTGAGTAGTGAATCAACTCATACAGCCAAGGCTACCCGCTCGCTTGACATCAGCATAAACATCTGCTTGACGATATCCGTCTGTCAATGCGGCTACGAGCCTCAGATTCCTTCAGATTGTCCTTGATTGGAACGTACACTCGGCGCTGACACGAACAGTGAGAGGGTTTTCCTGCTAGGGCCATCGCATCATTACTATCTATCCAAAGCAGCACTGTCAAAATGTACTCAGTACGCGACTCCGATTGGCAACTTGACTGTCGACCGACAGACGACAGCAAAGCTGTATACCTCTGCGCAGTTCGAGTGGATGACGCAGTCTGTGGACGAGCAGGAGCATAGCCTCGAAATGCATCTCCCATACATCTACAAGATGCTTGCCAAGTGAGTCGCTACTGCTTACACACTCACACCACGAGTCTCGTGGCGACGGAAAATTACTTGCATCGCTGACACGAGCTGTCAGGCACTTCGGTGGCAATCCTGCAGGACTCCCTCCGCTAGTGCCAATTATGGTCGGAAATACGTCTGCGTCTACGGAAAGGGCTCTTGGGCAGATATTGGCTCCATATCTGGCTGATCCCGCTAATGTGTTTGTGGTGTCCTCTGATTTCGCGCACTGGGGCTTACGGTTCCGCTACACATACTATCGTCCATCGACAGGCTCAGCCCTCCACCTCAGCTCATCAGCTAAGTCGCCTCAGAGCCCGCCCATACATGAATCCATCAAAACTGTCGACTTCGAATGTATGGGAGCCTGTGAGAGCGGAAGTCATAGCAAGTGGCTTAGCACGCTCGAGGAGACTGGGAACACGGTCTGTGGTCGGCACCCTATCGGAGTCATCATGGCTGCTATCGAGCAAGTTCGCAAAGATAGCGGCGAGCAGCATGCTGGGCTGTTCAAGTTTGTCAGATACGAGCGAAGCAGTGAGGTGAAGAGAATTGGCGACAGCAGTGTGAGTTATGCCAGCGCGTTCGCTGTCATTTAAACCTCAGGCTGCACTTCTCTTGAAGAGATGAAGCAGATGAACAGCTGTACGAAATCATGGATCTGACCGATCCGAGGACAAATTGAATGTACGTAGGTGCTTTGCTCGCTGGGCAATGCTCAAGATACTCAGTATTGCGCATGGGTCGATAGTCGCTCCTTGGCTGTGCATGTCGTTGCAGCGGCATCCGACAGTGCGACGAGGCCCAAATGAGATAGCTTCCGTCACTACCGTAGCCGCCTCAGGTTCCAGGTTGTGTTCGATGACCGTCAACAGGGCGCGCTGCGGCTGCTGTGATGTTGTTGCAGCAAGAAGTGATGATGCTTCCAAGTGCTCTATGATGCGTAGATCTACAGGGGCGGAAAGTTTCAATTTCTCCGAAACCCGATGAATGCATTGTTATGCAGGTGCGTATTGACGGGGATTATTCGCGTAGCACTGGGTTTATCTACTCTTTGATTCATGGAATAATGGTCAAGTCCTGCTGTGATTGCACCGACCGAGAGGCCCATCGTCGACACGCCGACACCGAGCGGTGAACGAACGAACGCTGACAGCTCGTGTGGCTGTTGCCAGTCACGGCTACAGTAGCGTACGAGCACTGCCATGTGTGGACGGTAAGGTATGTTTGTGGCACGCCTGAAAGCCGTCTCGCGCAGCTGAGCTCGCTGTTGTGGTGGGTATGACAAAAGTACGCATACGACATCCAGAAAGGACCTTACCGAACGTCTCTGGAATAATGGCAAGCCCTTTGCAGACACCATGATCAGACGAACGATGGGCCCAAATCGAGACAAGATGTTTCATGATTTTCGTCGTGTGGACAGATCAACCCTCAACGAGGGGAAGGACTGCATCAAGCTATCGATGATTCATCTTCAACAGCTTCAGCAACTAGCGCTAGCCGCAGGCTTTGCATAGCCTGGCCCACAGAAACACCGCACCGCAACATATTGATGCTTGTTAGCAAGAGCTTGTGTCAGGCCGCCTTCCGCAGGCGTTCGAAGCTTTATGGTTATTCGGCTCTCAGCTGGATTCGCTTGTCGCCGCCGTCATCATGCAATCATTCCACTCTTCAGCAAGGCTTTCCAGCTGCAGCCAAAAGCCTCACAGTTCGCAAGCTGAGTATACAGCGGGACCGTTTCTGCCGTTGTATCGTCCAGTCGTAGCAAAGCCGCCGGGAGAACCCCTACGATGTGGAACTTGATTGGCATGCGCATCACTGTTCCGATGTCGCCTAAAGCCGTTATAGCAGACTTCCAAGATCAGCAGTGAGCACGCCATGGAAATTTGATGGCATCATCAGTACTGATCTGTGCAGGGAATCAGATAGTGCATCGGAGTTCAGAAGCCGCCAAAGAACGACACTGAGATCTCGCCCCTTGTCGAGTTCCATACAGCTCACTGCACGGAACTCGAGATTCCTGCTTACGGCATCCCCATGAGGAAGTGTGTGCTGTAGTCCAAGCGTAACCCTCGTGTGAGAAGGTGCGCAGATGAGTGAGATCGCGGTCGGAGCACCCGTGTGCCTGCATCAGTGCAACTGGTGTTACATACTACCATGGCCTGAACGATGGTCCTGCAGTGCATCCAAAAGCTTGATTCACTTCATGCATGATTAGGTTCTATTAGCGTGCGTTAAGCAATCCGAAAATACTCTTCTGGAAGGGTTGACAGGGCACTGCACTACTGCTTCTCTAAACCGACCAAACTATCATTGACCGCAAGCAGTGCAGGCCAGTGGCGGTCCGCTCACCATGTGCGTACCAGAGTCGCATGGCTATGGATCCACCGCCCCATGGCTCGTGCAGGATAGACCTAGATATAGTGTTGAACGCCTCCTCGCATCGATGGATGATCACTTCCCAATAATCCAGACAACAACCCTTCCATTCGTTCACTTGCATTCGGTGTACCAACAAAAGTGCCATCTGGATTCTTCTTCCAGATTGTCACCACTAACGTTCAACCTCCTCGTTCTCTTGTGCAGTTCACAATATGCCTTCGTTTCTCAACAGCCTGGTGGTCTTTGGGCTGGCTGCCACTTCGACTCTCGTTGAGGCATCGCCTCGGCGAGGTGGCCCTCCTCAAGGCTCACATGGCGGCCGGCCTCTCGGCATGCCAAATTGGCGCGGTCAAGGCAAGACTGCTGGCAGCCCATCATACCCTTGGATATTCGAGAACACTCTTCCCATTCCTGCAGTCGCTCAGCCATTGTTCACAGAAACGATCAATGGTCGAACAATACAATACTACGAGACCACCATCGAACCTTTTCAACAACAGGTCTACCCAAACCTGGGCAAGGCAAACCTAGTTGGATACAACGGGACTGCTCCTGGAGCCACATTCATGATCCCAAGAGGCACAGAGACAATCATTCGATACCATAACAAGGCAACACAATCGGCGTCAGTTCACCTTCACGGCTCATACACTCACTCTGTGTGGGATGGATGGGCGTTCGATGAGATTCAGCCAGGCCAATACAAAGATTACTATTATCCTAATACCGAGTCTGCGCGACCAATGTGGTATCACGACCACGCGCATGGACACACCGCTGCAGATGCATACTATGGTCAAGCTGGCTGCTACATCGTCACAGACCCTGCTGAGGATGCTCTGGGACTCCCAAGTGGAAACTATGATATTCCACTCGCTATAACAGATAAAGCGTATACGGCGACCGGCGACCTTCAGAACCCCACCAGCAACAAGATTAACTTCTTTGGAGATATCATAGAGGTCAATGGCCAGCCTTGGCCATACCTCAATGTGGAGCCTCGCAAGTATCGCTTCCGGCTCTTCGATATGGCTCTCAGTCGTGCTTTCGATTTCTACCTTGTCGATCAGGACAACAACAATATTCAGTTCCAGGTCATTGGTTCGGACTCAGGCCTCTTCGCTTCTCCAGTCGATACTAAAGACGTTGTCGTGTCGATGGGTGAGCGCTACGAAATCATCGTCGACTTTTCTGGATTTAAGGGTCAGAACGTCACGCTCATGAACGGCCAGCAAATCGCTCAGATCAACGAATTCGAGAACACCGATAAAGTCATGCGATTCGTCGTCGGCAACGAGGTCTCTGATAGCTCAAACAACGGCGCTGTCCCATCTTCTCTGAATACGGCTATCCAATGGCCAACGCACAAGGATACTGTTGATAAGACCTTCAACTTCCAGATGGGTGGTGCAAATCTCTGGACCGTCAACGGTGTTGACTTTAGCGACCCGAACTCCCGAGTGCTCGCTCGACCACCCCAGGGTACTGTTGAGCGATGGCGATTCCATCATACGGGCGGCCTCGCCGTACACCCGGTCCACTTGCACCTTGTGAACATGCAGGTCCTTTCCCGAACTGGTGGTGCTCGAGGTCTTATGCCTTACGAGGCTGCTGGACTCAAGGATGTGGTCATGCTTGCTCCCGGCGAGACGGTTGATGTCCTTGCCATGTACGGTCCTTGGAATGGCGTGTATATGTTCCACTGTCATAATCTCGTCCACGAAGACAATGTCATGATGGCTGCATTCAATGCCACCACCCTTTCCGATCTTGGCTACGAGTTCAACAGCACACAAGGCTTCGGCGACCCGAGCGACACGCGCTTCGCAGCGAAGGCATACGATGCCTCATCGTTCGAAGACGCGGCTTTGCACAGCGCCGTTTCGTCCCTTGCAGCCCTCAATGCTTACGCTCCTGCATCGGCACTAATGTCAGCCGAGTCAGCGTACTGGGCAACTGCAGGCTCAAACGCGGTAGTGACAGCCAACGCTTTTGTCGCTACCGCCACATTCGCACCTACCGAGACAGCAGCGCCTACGAGCTCGGGTGTTGGTTTCGTTGCTCCTACCGTACAGGCCACCAGCACAGCCCTTTTCGGCCGAGTGACTGGACTTCCGCAGCCATTCAGAGCCTGACGTCTTGCCCGATGACTTGCGTACGGCGTTCCTCAGACAGAACGGCTTCAGTAGCCGCTTGTAGATTTCGTATGGTCATGAGTATGCATAAGCATTGGGTCGGAGTTTTACCATGAAAAGACATGATATTTCTGGGTGGAAAGGTCGGTGAGATCTGTAGCTTTGGCGATATGATGTTAATGTTTTTCGATCCTGTTGTATAACCCGCTACAAAGGCATGGCAATGATGATTGCGCTCCACTGGGAATCGAAACTCCTCCTGTACGTCTCTGTGCAATTGCCTCGTCTATGATGTGGCGATCATTCTGTCTTTATTATAGGAAGAAAGCGCCGAGCGATTGAGAAGAAAATAGACGGAGGAGAAGGACGAAAAAGCCAAAGCTTGCTTATTAGTGCCTTGCAAAAGGGCCCGGACACCTTACACCTCTTCTAATAGCTATACTACTACATCTCACTAAATACACCTATTGCACGGTGAGAGATTACTGTATATTGTATTAACTTGTATACTAAGTCCTCTGAAATATATCTAATACCTATTTTAGTATTATTCGTAGTATATCTATCTATAAGCCGTATTTTTAGCGTATATTTGCCTAAAGCCGCTACCTGCCTCGATATAGCAACTAACCTACTACTATAGCTCTACTTACTAAATAAGATAAGAACATTATTTAATAGGTATTAGACTAGGGCTAGAAGAGTAGAGATATTATATAGTTATTACTCTGCGATAGACGTAGCTCTCGTACTACTATTTAGACTCGAATAACTTAGTAGAATAGGGCTGCTACTATATTTATAGTAAAGGGCGGTAGGCTATATATAATTACGCTAGCTATACGAGACGACCTACTAGACTTCCTAATAATAAGAACTATATACTAGCTAGAAGAGATATAGATTGTATTACTAGAAAATTACTAAGAATAGGTATTATAATCGACTATTAGTCGTTGCTTGTTAAGCAGCGACTTTATATATAAACTACTGTCTCGTACGGCTTTATAAAGAGACCCTATAGTAAGGGCTCTATTTAAGGCTAAATTATAGTTATTTATAGTATTCTAGATTTTATATCTTAATAAGTCTTATGCCTCTAATAAGACTATGCTTAGAAGGCGTAGATAGTTACTAAAAGGAATGCTAGTAAGGGATATCTAATTCCTATACTATTCAAGTTCGTAGCAATATACAGTCCTTCTAGTATATACGATTAATAGCTATTTTTAGGAGCTACTAATCTAGTAAGGCAGCGTTAATAGTTGCAACTTTATTAACTTCGTACGCTATCGAGTATTACTACGTTATACGCTATATCTAGGTCTACGGTTAGTTATATTACTAGATAACTATAGTACCTATTTAAGAGCTATTCTAAAAAGAATATACTTAGCTAAGGGTATATACTTAATCTTCCTTCTACTATATTCGCCTAGCTATAACGCTATTAAACTAAGCTCTAAACACCTTAAGCACTAGATTAAGAAGCACTAGCAAACAATGCCTAAGTATAGATTACCTTACTAGTTAGTAGACTTCTAGGCATACCTAGAACTAGTATATAGGCCGTAGGCAATAGGGTAATAATATCGATTACTTAGCTTAGTTTAAGTACTATAAAGTGCTCGAGAAGCTATATAAATATAGTCTAACAATGCCGGCGGAGATATAGAATAAAAGGCAGTAATTATAGTATACGCTAATTTTAGCTCGATTTATACGTAGAGTACTAAGACCTTCTATACTATAGTAAATTAATACTATATTCCCTTCTAAAGAACTTCTAACGGTTGCTATTTATACTATTGCTATCTATAGTTACTATACGGTCCCCTAGTAGTATAGAAATTTCGAGGCTTAGTATATCGGACTAGATTCCGAAATGTTAGACGTTTAGCTCTATCCTATATATTATTGTAATAACTTGAATACTATATTATTATTGTTATTATAGCCGATTGTTCGATAATAGGTACGGCGCTCCTGTATGAAAAAACAACGATATAAGTCGTATATATAGTTATAGTATAATCTATCGAAAAATAAAACCCGTATTATTAGCTAGACTTAAAGAAGCCAAGGTGCGAGTTAGAATAGCAATAGTAGGGTTAAATATTTAGCTGTTACTAAAGACCTAATAATTATATAGCGCTAGAAGTTAACGATATTGTATCTAGATTAATCTGTTTAGGGTACGCGACCTGTCTATAGTATCGCCTCTTATATCTCTAGGTTATAGGATTAGAATCCGATAGGTAGTAGTAGTAATCTATATAGCTAGGGTTAGCAAAGTTAGCTTGCTGTTCTATCGGCTTTATGCCTCTTAATTTAGGCTGCTTTAACGTATTATAGCAAATTCTATTACTGTCTATAACTCGCTTATAAAGCGCCTATCTAGTACTAAAGGCAGGTACGACTCTCGCTAGCCTATTCTTATTCTCTTAGAGTCGTAGTTATTATAGATTTAATTTCTAGGTATTGTCTATAATAGCTTTAGTAATAGCTTCCTACCTATCCTACTATATCGCATACTACTAGTATTAGAAGAACTAGACTAAGAAGAGAGGTATCTCTATATAGTTACCTAATATAGTACTAATATCTAGCGGTACTAGCGAGCTACGGAGCTATTACTATAGCGGAGACTAGACCTAGTATTAAGGTTATAGAGCGCTAATAAGAGTAGGGTTAGCTATTATTAACTATAATAGTTTTAGATTAAACTATTATTGCTACTACTACTATTATTATTATTAGAGTAAGGCTATTAGTAGGACTACTACTACTATTGCTAGTTAGTTGCTATTGCTCTATAGTAAGGGCGCTAATAGGACTATTAATTATATACTATTGCTAAGTAGCCTTATTCTTCGTAGAAGCGGCGGTCTTTATCTATATATATTCTTCGTAAGAAGCGATAATCCTACTAGCAATCTCTATAGGTATATAGTATAGAAGAGCGCTATTAATTCGGACTATATTAGCAAATTCCTTCGCGTAAGAGCCTATTATACTATAATAGATACTACGGCGTGCCGCGTTTGTAATAGCTAACTCTACGGCCTAACTTCTTATTATCGCACTAGTACTTATTATATTTAAACTACTTAAATACTATCGAGAATACCTCGTTGTCTTTACGGCATTCTTTCTTAGTCTTATCGTTAGTATTCTTTTAGCTATTCTTTACCTAAGAGGCTAGTTATAGCAGCTCTAGCAGATTACTATTAGTCTTAATAAATTAATTACTATTTAGTAGAGTTAATAGTCGATTAGGTATAGTAACGCGCTTATAGCTCTTAAGGACTTTAGTAGTATAGCAAGTATTAGTATTAGCGTAATAGCGTAGGAACTTAGCTACCTCTTTATAATAGTCGTCCTCGTAGATAATATTATAGAAGGTCTTTAAGCGCTTCGGTATAGATAGCCGTAGATAGTAGATAGTAAATATACGGTCTAACTATTATTATAAGCCGAGTCCTTCTATAAAAATCTATAAGGCTACTCTGTCTTTAACCCTCTATATTAACTACGCTATTTTATTACTATTTAGCCTCGAGTAGGCAAAGTCTATATTATTATCTTCTAGTATATTGTTTATAGTTATAATATTATGCTATTTGCTATATAGTCGATACTAGGCAATCTATATAAGATATTCGCTAAAGGGCTTCTTATTCGCTCGTAGCTTCGGCGTTAGTATAGGTTTAGGTATACGCGAAGTCGGTCGGCGTCGCGAGTTAGCTTCTA